CTGGGCCAAAATGAGAGACGCCAACCTGATAACCACCTTCCTTCACAAGCAGCTCCCTACCAAATCGGGCTTCACCCACATAAAGCTTTTTAGTTCCAGCCAAAGACAACCAACCCAAACTCGAGGGGTTGATTCCCCATTCTTTTCAACCATCGTTCTTTTCTCAAAAACCGGATCCGTTTCTCCTGGGTTTTTAGGATGGTTTCCAAAAAAAAGCTGCCCTGGAAAGACTGGACATGGAAGGTACCCCTAGAAAAACCGCCTCACCTGTTTGCCTCTTGACACGTTTGGAGTGAGTGAGACGCCCCTTTTTGACCCCGAGCTGCCGCAGCCACCACCATCTTCTGGAAGCTCGCTTCCTGCAAGACCTGCAGCAGAAAAACAAAAGTGGTTGCAGGGGGAGACATGGAGAAAAGAACGGCAAATATGGAGGTCTGTGATTTTTTTCGAGGGTACCCGTTTTTGGTTAAAAAGGAGGCAAGCCAAAAGAATCCCACCCATTTTTGGGCTGCCCCTGTTTTGACATGTTCCCATATATATATATATGCTATGTATACAACTGTTACGTACGAACGAACACCATGTGCAGGGACAATATTGTAGACAATTGTCAATGAGGATGGGTGTTTTCGGAAGTCTGTTGATACGAATGATTGATTGATTGAGTGAGTGAGTGAGTGAGTGGGTCAGTGAGTCAGTGAGTGAGTGAGTGAGTGAGTGAGTGAGTGAGTGAGTGAGTGAATGAGTGGGTGGGCGGGCGGGCGGGCGGGCGGGTGAGTGCGTGCGTTGGTGGGTGGGTGGGTGGGTGGGTGGGTGGGTGGGTGGGTGGGTGGGTGGGTGGGTGGGTGGGTGGGTGGGTGGGTGGGTGGGTGGGTGGGTGAGTGCGTGAGTGAGTGAGTGAGTGAGTGAGTGAGTGAGTGAGTGAGTGAGTGAGTGAGTGAGTGAGTGAGTGAGTGAGTGAGTGAGTGAGTGAGTGAGTGAGTGAGTGAGTGAGTGAGTGAGTGAGTGAGTGAGTGAGTGAGTGAGTGAGTGAGTGAGTGAGTGAGTGAGTGAGTGAGTGAGTGAGTGAGTGAGTGAGTGAGTGAGTGAGTGAGTGAGTGAGTGAGTGAGTGAGTGAGTGAGTGAGTGAGTGAGTGAGTGAGTGAGTGAGTGAGTGAGTGAGTGAGTGAGTGAGTGAGTGAGTGAGTGAGTGAGTGAGTGAGTGAGTGAGTGAGTGAGTGAGTGAGTGAGTGAGTGAGTGAGTGAGTGAGTGAGTGAGTGAGTGAGTGAGTGAGTGAGTGAGTGAGTGAGTGAGTGAGTGAGTGAGTGAGTGAGTGAGTGAGTGAGTGAGTGAGTGAGTGAGTGAGTGAGTGAGTGAGTGAGTGAGTGAGTGAGTGAGTGAGTGAGTGAGTGAGTGAGTGAGTGAGTGGGTGGGTGGATGGAGGGACGGACGGACGGGCGGATGGATGGATGGGCAAAGCATGGGTCCGGTAGCTGCCACCGGATCACAGATGCAATTTCACCTTAGCAGCCGCACCAGCTCCCCCTGGACAGTGGCCCGCCTTCTCGTTGCGCAACGCCACTTCCACCCGGCCTCGAGATCCAAGGCCAGGCAGGCACAATGCATGCCTCACCGCTACTGCTTGAACATCGGAATGTCTCAAAGCAAGAAACACTTTGGATACTTTAACAAAGAACCAGAAAAAACCGGCCATGCGGATGGGGTCCAAGTAGTTTTGACACACTACTTATACAATATGTGCGTCACGTATTCTGCTGGTTTTTTGGAACATCTTCGACATCTTCAACCCATGCTGCTTCCATGTCGGTACCATGTGGTCTTCTTCCGGACCAGCGCCATGTCAGTGGCTTACCCCTCTGACCCCGCGGAAGCCCCGGAAGCCTCGGTGCGTGGCCCCCCAGCAAGGCCTCCGAAGTCCGCACGAGGCCGGCCATGTTTGGCACCTGAGATTCCAAGAAGCTGTGGATAGCCGCGGCATTTTTCCGGTCATCGGGGTATTTAACCCCACGACCATCTTTTGTCCTTCGAAACTTTGGAGAATCCGGTTCAAAGCGGAGAGAAAACTTAGCAGCGTCCAGCAACTGTTGATTTGGGTTCTACCAACATGGTTATTATGAATGTTTAAGTAAGCCATACTATAACCAAAAAAAGGAAAAACATAAAAATATAGTAGAACACCCTACTGAAAGGTTTGCCTACCCTACTTGATGCTGTGCTATGGGGGGATTTCCTGTTGTGTTTGCTGGTGTTTCGGTTTTCCACATTCGTATGTAGCTGTTCATCCAGGAAAACTGTACGTCCTCGCTTGGCTGACACTCCCGTACGCACTTCATTGCTCCACACACTGGCCTTGAACGTAGCGCTCTACTCTACATCTGATCTGGGCTTAGAGACCCAATTTGGACTCTCGGGGCAACAACTTCCCGGCAAACAACGGACGAGCGGGCTCAGGGCTCAATTTGCCGTTGATTCTTCTATGAATGAAGTGAAGGGCGCGCCGAGAATGCAGTGACCACACGTCCCTACCTGCGATAACAGCAATGCAAATTCCACGGGGGGGTTGACTATCAAACAAAGTCTGCCAGAACCAACCAAACCACTCCAGATCATGGGTGATTCTCACAAAACACTTTGAGACTAGGCCGTGCGCTGAGAGAAACTGCGCGCGTTTCGTCTGGACCGATTCCCTGAGACTAGTATAAATGCAGGCACGCGGGATCAGAGCATAGAGTCAAATAATTCACACCTTGCAGACTTACGATGTGGACGTGGTGTCCTTTCTTGTGGTCTCCCTGTAATTAAACCAACCTGGAAAAGGGTACCCCCAAAAAGTTTCACACCCCCACTTGCCTGAGGCTGGGGCATTGTCCACCAGAGATGCGCATACCACCACGTCAATATCCTCCGATGTGCCTCCTCAGTCAAACAGGTGCTGCAAGAAGGGAGCAAGGAAAGCTCGGTCATCTGCAATGAGGATTGGCTGGCTTGACTTTCAAAATTCAGGGAGTCAACCCTACACTCGAGGGAGCTGACAAGTGTTGATTGGGATCCAGGTAGGCAGGCAAGCGCACACCCCACAGAGAAAAACATAAATTGACAATCAAACCAAGCCGAGATGTGAAGTTCCAGCCGAACTTTGGCATGAATGGACAAGATATCACAAGACTTCAGGAAGGTCACAGCATGTGCCTCTTTTGATCGACGATTGAGTCTGATCCATATGTCATAAACCTAACAAGAAAACATATGTCCCAACAGATCCCGGCATCATGCTTGAAACGGGCACCTCCACATTTGGGCCTGTCTTAAATTGCGCGAGCCCCCGCACCGCCCAATCGCCTGGGACCCCCCCCCCTCTCAGCGCCCAATCGCCCATGCTTGGTGTCCTGTTGTCACTGACTGCTATGTCTATGTGCCCTGACGGTGGGTTCGGACGCCCCGGTGAGAGGCCTGTTGTCACTAACCAACCAAAACGGACGGGGGGGGGGGGCGGGTTCCCCAAACCGACCCACACACCTCCAGCTTTTCTTTTTCTGGGACCGCTGCGCGGGGGCCGTTCCGGCCGGCGCTGTATGGCGCCTGGGGGGTTTTTCGGACGCTGAAACGAAGAAGTGGTGAACCCTAAGGGTCCAAACGAAATTTGGGGCCTCAAGGTATGTCCTTTTGACACCCCAACAACGGGAGGGGGGTGCGGTACGGGGACCTCAGGGAGGCTTTAGAGGCGATTCAAAGAGGCAATTCAGCGAGAAACCCACCAAAGCACTGACCATGAAAGCAAGCCAAAATGATCGCCACACCCCCCCCCCACCCACACACACCGACCCCACCCCCCCCACACCCCACCCCCAAACCCCACACACACCCCACACCCGGGGAGCGGGGACCCTTGACTCCAACATCACTTTGCGTTTGAAGGTGGACTCGGAGTCAAGAGCTCAAGCTGAGACGAAGAACCGGATCGACGCAAGTCTTTCAGGTCTTCCACAACCCAGCCAAAAAGTTAAGAACTTTTTGCTGGTTGAAAGGAAATATGAGGGGAGTCCAAAAAGTTGAAGTCTAAAGATCCAAGCCAATAGCAGAGGGAACAATCCTCAAGCCCCGAAACGCCTGCGGTTCGTTCACAGAAAGCAGGGGTTGCCTCTTGACCAACTTTTGGGCACATCTGCAGATCCCGCTTTTTCAGGGCTCCGTTTTGAGCCCCTTCCGTTTGATATCTACCCCAATGAAAGGAAGGGTTTGGCCTCAAGCCCCAGGGTTGCCACAGAAGAGTTGGGCCAAGTATAAAGCCCTCACTGGCTGAGTGGATGGCCAAAAAAAGTCTAAACTTCATATTCACCACCAAAATGGTCTTGGCGAAAAGTTAAAGTTCATGAACTCAGGAAGTAAGAGCCAATACGAGTTCATATCCCCAGCTGAAACATTCAGCAAGCTCCGGAGTTCGGAACGGCCTCCGGCTGGGTTTTGCCAGGAAGGGAGGGGGGAGGGCCCGGGGCTGCTGGGGATGCCATGATGTTTCCCCACCCGCAGTGCCTTATTCGGTGGGCCTTTGCACGTTCCAAAGAAGTATCCAAAGTATGCAAAAATAAGCATGTCTGAGTTGCTTCGATTCTCTACACAAAATGGCATCCTGCAACGCTACACTGAAAAATGAATAATTGCCAACTCAGACTCAAAGGCGAAACCAGGGGCCCTCTGCAATAACACATGTTTCCAACATTCTTACGAGGCGCGCTTTTTATTCTTGAAGCGAAGCCACAGGGGCATGCCTGAGGTACAGCGAAGCCATAAACACTGTCTGGCCATCTCTCTCAAAGGTGCGGAGTTAGAAAACTGGCCGGGAAGCAAAGTGCACATAAGGCCATGGGTCATAACCTATGCCTCCATTTTGGGGCGGATGAACACCCATGTACCACCTATTTTGATGTTCACCAGGGGTACAGGACTTTGACCCACAGCCACTTGTGTAAACTCAGTCGACCTCTTGTGCGCGCCTTCGCCGCCTTCCTCATTCTCCTCTTCTGGCCTCAAGGGGCGATGAAGCGCGAACCTCGAACTGCGCATGTTGCAACGGACATGCCAAAAAGCTTGGCTCGCCTAGGCCGTGTCCACCTTGTTTCAAAATATGCAGAGCAGTCTCGATGGAGAGCCAGGTGCCTCAGCACCGGATTCCAGAGGACGATATGATGCCCAAGACTCAGTAACTTTGGGCTCTTCGAATGATGCGTGAGGCTTTTGGCTTGGTCCACATCATACCCCACATCAAGCAGGGTGGAGAATTCCATACTAAGCACTAAAACGGCCACCGGCGGCTTTGGGCGCTCAATGTTCCAAGGCCACGACATCGCCGAATACATCAACAGATTCTGCAACTACTGTGGGACCAATTCCTGCACCAGGTAGGTGGTTAATTGCACCATTTATAGGGATTCATCCACCCCAAGTGGGCAGGATTTCGTCCACAGTATGTTGGGCATTTCCAGCTAGTTCCACCCTCCCTTCCCCTGGGACCCAGGCGCTGGAGACCAGAAGTCCTGAGCCACCTGCGGGCCAAGGTTGCCGTGAGCCTCCGAACTTGGGCGTTTCCCATCGCACGGGATCGCCCAAACCGATCTTTTACATGGCCTCGCAGGGAAAAACCACAGGGAGGCCCGCAAGAAGCCCTCTTTCTGGCCTCTTTGAGGAACAAATGTTGCATCTCCCGGGCTCAAAGCTGAGGTTCAAACCACCCATGGCACGGTGAGTGAGAGCCATAGATAAACACAAAGCGGAACTCGCCCTCAAAAAAAAAGCGGAGATAAGGGTTGCCGGACCTGCGTTGGTTCTGATGCCTACCACCTGCTTCCAAACAAGTTGCTCTTCCCATGTAAAAAAATACTTCGGACCCCAGTGCTTGAGCGAAACAAACGCATCGTTTGCCAACTGGCCCTGGCCGAGAAAGGGTCCTAACCTGACTCCAAATGCCTGCTTTTTAGTTGAGGCCTCGAGAACACTTCTTTTTCTTGTACAGCCGCCATTTTCCGCCAAGAAACACATCAGGAATCAGAACGGGAGGGGTCGACCATCCCGGCGAAAAATCGAGCCGAGTCGACCTCCCGCCTGCTTGGTGGCCGTGGTCAGCATCACGTCCAGCGGGCGCCGGGGCTTGGCCTCCGACCAGACGTCGGAGATCCACTCGTCGAGCCGCACCCTCGCTCGGAGCTTCTGGAAGGCCGACGCGTCCCGGACCTGCCTGGCGGCTGAGTGAGGTGGATGTGGTTCTCTCTTCTTCTTTTTGTATTCTTTGTTTGGTTTTGTTTTTCTCCTTTTTGTTTGGATGTGTTTTATTCTTTGTTTGGTGTTGTGTTCTTTGTTGCTTTATTGCACGTTTTTTTGTTTTTGTTTTTGTCGGTTTTGTTTTCTTGTGTTTCTCCTCTTTTTTCTGGATGTTTGAGGGGCCCGGAATGGTGGACATCAAATTTAGGGGATGTATGTCCACCAACCTACTTTTGAGGCGCTTAGGTCGGTGGCGAGTGGTTGCTGCCAAACGGGTTCGCAAATCAAAGCCGGTCAGGACAGTCTTGCACAATAAAAATATGGATAACAGTAAGGCTGCGTAGGTGGATATGAATTTTACTCAGGGGCCCGGAATGGTGGACATAATCTTTAGGGGGATTCATGCCCACCAACCACTTAGGCAGAGAAAAAGGGGATCACCTTTTGGGGCCTTTACACAAACTAGACCAAAGAAGGGAAAGCCAAAAGGTAAGGTCGATTCGCGTTGAAGAACTGAGGGGTTAGTTGGGTTGCGAGTGGTTGCCCCAGGCAACCCGAGTGGATCAATCACCAAGAAGGTCTATGAGCACTTCTGGTGGAGTTGCAACCAGTCCACCTGTCTGTCTGTCTGTCTGTCTGTCTGTCTGTCTGTCTGTCTGTCTGTCTGTCTGTGTGTCTGTGTGTCTGTGTGTCTGTGTGTCTGTGTGTCTGTGTGTCTGTGTGTCTGTGTGTCTGTGTGTCTGTGTGTCTGTGTGTCTGTGTGTCTGTGTGTCTGTGTGTCTGTGTGTGTGTCTGTGTGTCTGTGTGTCTGTGTGTCTGTGTGTCTGTGTGTCTGTGTGTCTGTGTGTCTGTGTGTCTGTGTGTCTGTGTGTCTGTGTGTCTGTGTGTCTGTGTGTCTGTGTGTCTGTGTGTCTGTGTTTCAGTGTCAGTGTCTGGGTGCCTGTGTTAAGGTGCCTTTGTCAGCCTGGCAACGGCTCAAGCCATAGTGGGTAGCCAGCCATGTTCCTTCAGTTCTTAAAGGGAGGTTGCTGGAATCACTGGAACGGTGAACAAATAGACAAGGATTCCAAACGGGGTCCATTGGAAACAGGTCAGGAAGAGTCCAGTCTGCACAAGAAAAACATGGATAAGCGTAAGCGTGGTAAATGAGAAACACAAATGAGTACATCTGAAAGCACTATGAGGTCGGCTGGGAATTGAAGCAGCCCTTTGGTTGACGCTTAGCTTGCCGAAGGGCTGCTATGGAAGGGAGTAGGAACCGCCTGAGGCGCAGTTGTGGGGTTATGATCCGACATGACCGGACAAAGCTGGCCTATACATGAGACACATCGACTGATACAAGTAAGTTGTGCAATGACGGCACTGGGCAAATAACTATCGCAACCACGCCACCAGCACATGCTTCCTTCCGGGAGAACCCCTGAGCATGCGTTATTTGCTGGGTCACTCCCACCCTGCAAAGGACAAGTATGGAAACCGTCTTTCACACTGATGGCCCTCTCTTTTGGGTTTTACCAGCAATCAAGTAAGGCAATTCGAGATCGGGAGAAACGAACATCGACTTGTGCCGACTGGCGCAAAGGAGCCTACCACCAAAAAAACAACATAGCAACAAAAACCACCCCGGCCTCAAACCCGCAAACTTGAGAGACCCCCCCGGCACGCGGGACCCTGGAGCTTTGCTTGCCAACACAGTGAAGATGCCCCCAAAGGACTCAGTAGCTAGGCTCGTAGCTGCAGTTCTCCCGAGCTGAAGGTTCATCAAAACGTGAGCCGTGGACAGGTTCACGCTGCCTTCCCTTCTGAGATCGGCATTTGGTCAATGAACAATGCACAAACCATGACTAAGGTGAATGAAGTGTGCTGCGAGGCAATTCTGGAACTCAAAACAACCAGCACTCTACCCGCACCCAAATGAAAGCACTTTCCATCCCTGCCTGTGGAGCGCATCCACATACCACCTTGGAATGCGGCGCGGGAGATTTCCTTTATGGCGCGACAACGGGCGCTCGTCACCGCCAGGGCCGGGTGTCCGACCCAATAGCACAAAACACGTGGCAGTGCCGGAGTCAGGGCGACACGTTTTAATCCCCAAGCTTAAACCCGGGGGTGGTTCTTTCCCCCCAAAAGGGGAACCCCTTTTGGTTTAAGTCTATCTTGGGGTAGTCAAACAGTGGAACCCTGGCCGGAGTAGTCACCTCGCCTAGCTCTCTTGAGACAATGCCAGCCTTGAGACCTGCATCGGTCTTCACTTCAAGCAAAGCAGACAGCTCTCTTAGGCGATGATAGGTGGGAGACATTCAGCATGCAGTATGGGTCCTGCTTGGATTCAAGTGAAACTCATGTTCGTCATAAGCACATCTCTGGCATGCTGAAATAAAAGCGGCGATGATGAAATGGAGTCACACTCACAACACATCTCGATCATAAACATACTTCCCTCAATCTGGGCTCGATGCACCCACAAAATACTCGCCAACAGAGTGCCTAAGTTCCCATTGACAAAGGTGCAATCCAAGCACAGGATGACTTTTTGGTAGCGCGCAATCTGCGAACCAGTCTCAATGCAACCTTGCTCCCTCTAACAGACTTGAGGCAGGCCGGTAGTTGTTCAGACTCTTGTCAGCTCTAATAATGTTGGGCGGATGTTTGAACCCTCTGACCAATGAACTTGCCACCTGACCAATGAACAGAACCAACAAACAAAGAAGCTTGCCAAGAATTGTGATTTGAAAAGCCAGAAGCCCCCTGCTGAAACATGCACGGAACAAACAACAACTTGCCACCTGACCAGTGAACAGAACCAAAGCAACAAGAAAAGAAGAAACAAAACAGCTTGTCAGACAAAAAGCAACCACACAAACACAAACCACAAAAAAAGAAGAAACAAAAACAACACACACACACAGCAACCTGGCGCCAGACCTGCCGGCCTTCCTTTCCAACACCAAAAGAACCACCCGAGGCCTGGGCCCCGGGGTCTCCGTCAGGAGCCCGCGCTCCATGGCGGCGAAGAGCGCCAGCGAGGCCAAGAGCCGTGGGCCGTGGATGTAGCAGGCGCTCCAGGCCACCAACGCGCCCAGCAGCTGCAGCTCCTCGGCGTCCGTCCGGGTCATCCGTCATCCAAGCCGCGAAGCTGTTGGAGCGAGGCGAGCCCTTTTAAGGGATGAAAATGGAGGAAAACTCCCTAGCTGTGCTAGGTGATGCAAAGGAATCAAAAAGTGGGAAAAAAAAGAAAAACGTGCAAGATGGATCAAAATGGTTGGACAAAAACGCGTGAATGGATCAAACTATAACCCCATAGGGGAGACCCCCCAAAATGGTGAAGGTCTTGTTCTGGTTCAAACACACATCATCCAGGGGCCCAATAATTTTGAGTTCACCCCCTATGCAACATCTTGATGACACTTCCTGAGTGGATTGGCCCAAGAAAAGTACCCACACTTGCTATTTACCACTAAAATGGTCCAAGCAAAAAGTGACCAAAGTCCAGGAACTCGGGAAGTGAGTGAGGTTGACTAGGTCCTCCAGTAGAGAGGTTCGAATGAGAGTACCCTTTTTCTGTAGTCTATTTTAGGGAACCCTCCCAACCAAAAAAGTTGGTAAATGGGCGCTACTGGGGGACCTAGTTGAGGCTGGGGTTCATGTTGGGGTTTGACACGTGCAGCTGGCCATCCGGCGTCCAAGGTGCCGCATGCGAGGTCGCTTGCAGCTGCAGAGCCTGGCCGTCCCTGCAGGGCTGACCTGGAGCAAAGAAACGGCTCAAATGGCCATGGGTCAAATTTTGTACCCGCAGTGAACATCCCAATCCCCATTAAAATAGACTAACATGGGTGGTGCACCTACCCCAAAATGGTACCGTTGGTTTTGACCCACAACCAAATGAGTGTCTCTCCAGAGGATTTCCGTGGGACAACTTTTGTTGGTTGGTTGAGTTTAAAGGGGAACCCTTACCCCAACAAAAAGGAAACAAGGGCACCACTGCGCAAAAGATCGAGTGTGTGGGTGTGTCCAAATAGGTCCCCCCCCAAAAGATGGCGAAGGGCTTTCCAGTGGAACCGAAACGGGGGGGGAAATCGGAAGTGTGCGTTGAGAAAAACTCAATCATGGCGAAGACGTTTGTCTTTACATGTTCCCTACGCCTGGCTGTACCCGCGGCCCACGTCGCGAGGTCTCAAGTGGGACCAGTCCGAATCAACCTGTCGGGCATGCAAATGAGCCAACCAACCCTATGTTTTAGCCATTGTTGAAACACGTTTGGCTTGGAAACAAGGGTGTGGTTTTCTTGACGCAACTTTTTGGCCCGGTGTCCAAGTCGAAGCCGATAAGCTCCGACAGTCCCACCTCGCTGGGGGTGCAGCAGCAGTTGGGCGGCCACACTGAGGGCATTGAAAGCGAAGGCTTCCGGCAACTCGAAGTCCTCAAACCACATGGGGCGGCGTTCTCGTTGCCGTGTGGTGGTTTGCCTTCTAGCCATCATGATACACAAACCACCTTCCAAAGGCGTCTACACAAAACCCAGGCTTAAAAAACCAAGAGGGGAGATATCCGCACCTATTTTTGGTCGGGATTGTCCCCACCCTCCATGTAACCAACTTGGGTGGATTACTCCAGATCGGCGTGGACCCCCAGGTGCCATGTCTAGAGAAATCGTTGCTTTGGGCGGATCCACCTTTCTGGGGTCGAGGTTGCGACGCCAAGCCGCAAAGCCCTTTAAGAGGTTGCTTGCCAAAACCAATAGGGACTTCCTTGTACTGCAGCAGCTGGCTTATCACTTCCCTCTAACGAAGCGCTTCTTAGTGTTGTTGCCTTTGTCTGTACGCCTGAGTGTGTGTTTGCGCGAGTGTGTTGTGATGTGATGTGTTGTGAGATGTCATATTGTGGTGCCAAACTTGAAACCAGAAAGTCGGGCGCACAAAATGTGATTGAAATATCCCGTCCCTCTGGATATTGTTCTGCGCTGTGCTGTTGTTTCTTAATGCGCTATGTTGTGTTCTATTGTGTTGCAACGTCGTGTTATGATTGTGCTGTTTTAGGCAATATGCAGAGTTGGAAGCTGTGTAAAAACGCGATGTATTGCAATGGATGCAGGGTTGCAGTGTAGGCCTTGCGTAGCTTGTGGTCGTGTGTGTGTGTGTGAGCGTGCTTGTGTGAGTGTGTGTTTGTGTGATTGAGTGCTGGTATAACAATTGTTCTCGTCTGTGAGTGTGTGTGTGTGTGTTGTGTGTGTGTGTGTTGTGCGTGTGTGTGTGTGGTGTGTGTGTGTGTGTGTTGTGTACTCTGTCGGCGTCGTGCTCTGTGTGTGTGTGTGTGTGTTGCTCTTCAAACCTTACCAACAAAAGCGTAGCTGCGTGAGTCCACTCCAAGTGAGTTGCGGGAAGTGATGCCTTGGCAATGGGGACAGCAGGGTTCAGCCCCTTCAGCACCTGACTGGAACGCATCCGTTCTTAGGTGAACATGCGTATGTTTTTGGAGCTCCATCAAATCAGATTATCGCGATCCACCATATCTGCTGCGGTTCACCTCTTGTGTTTCTTCCCGGACCTCTTTACCCAAGTGCACAGGGTGTAACATGTGCAGCTGTTGCTACAGGGTTTGTGCGCACATCCCAGAATATCACATAGGCGGCCCTGCAAGAGGTTGGACCTGCTGCTCTCTCCACTACAAAACACACATCATCCACACCCACAAAACGGTTCGGCACTTTTGAGAAGCTGACTCGCGCGACACCACGATTCACGAATCCCTTTTATGTCTCCTCTTCTGGGGATGGTGAGCCCGGGTTGGGAAGTCCTGCAAAAGCTCCGCCAAGGGCAGGATCACCGCATCCCCTCGGCAAAACTGGTTCAAGGCAGTGCACGAGCTGTGATTTGTCTGGCGACTTGTCATAATTCACAAAGTGAAAAAGTATTTGTTCCTACGTGTGCAACGTGCCATGCCACCGCATGAGTAAAACTGCGACATGCAACACCCAACAAGGCTTCCGGATGTGTCAGACACTTACTAGCAAAGTCGCTGAGCAAGTCCTGCAAACCCATCCACTTGGCACTCGCTCCCCCCCCAAACCGACAAACAACCGATCTCTTCGGAGTGGGTTATGGTACTTGGAAGCCCGAAACAGGCACTTGGTAAAGCTTGCTTTTGAAAAAAACTGCTGTTGAAGGAACACCGGTCCTTTCACAACAAGAAACCACATGCGCAACACTTGGCGCTGTGGGTGTAGCAAGGTGCTTGCCGGAGTTTGCCATGTCTTTTACAGGCCCCTGCGAAGAAACATTCTAACATGACCCACCGCATTTACCAGAGAATCCTTCCACTTGGGCAGTATGAATTTCATGTCACTGTGTCTCTTTGGAGGGGACCCAAGGGTTTTCGGGGCTTGAAAGAAAGGGACCAAAACAAAAGCAACCATTTTCCGGGTCCGCTGTCAAAACCAAACGGAACCATGATTTATGGGATACGCCACTAGAAGTATACACCCAGGTCCGAGTTCCTCCGGATTCCAGTTGCCCAGAAGAAACAGAGACCCTTTTTTGGGATTAGAAAAGGCAACAGAGACACCACTGGACTGGGCCACCAGCCATCTTTCTAGTTCATGTTAAAACCCCCCAAGGACGCCAACCACTTCCCTGTGTTAGTTTTGACCCCTGTCCCCAATTGGCTGTGGCTCAAAATAAAAGAAAGTCAAACCATGGTGCCGCTTGCGGTAATTACCCCCCAATGTTTGAGCCATGTCGCCCAACTTTCGGGGTGCCCCCCTATTTTTACCATGGTGCCATTGCCATTTGGGGGTTATGTCACCCCCATTTGCGCAGCGACCCGGTCTCTCCGCTCGCCTGCCAGGAAGGCCGCCTTCGCCCACACGTTCTGCACCAAGACCCGCGTGGCCGGCAGCAGCGGCGCCCGCAGCGCGCGCTGCGCGGCGGAAGCCGCGCTGAAGGCGTCGCCGGCGGACAGGAGTTCACCTGGACGGAACGAGCCGTCGGCTTCCCAAGCGGTGGGGAGTTCGGTGGTTTGGTGGTTGGGTGGGGTTCCCATTTTCAAAGTAACTCTGGCGGGTACCTGACATCCTGCGAATAGCCAACCAAAAATGCACTAAATGCACAAAGAAGGAGTGAGTACATCTATTACTGTATAGGCCAAACACTTGCCTTTGACGTACACCTACTGCATAGGCCAAACACAACTGGCCTCTGAGCAAACCAAACATGCCTTTGTCAGGCTCGTTGTTCCAGGATCTTCTACACAGACCCTCCCCCAAAAAAAGAGCGAGCCGGAGTCCTCCGGACCCCAAAATAAAAAGGTTCACCTTTTGGGGCCATGACAAAAAATGGAAACCAACACATGGCGGTGGCTCCAAAAACCGGAATTCCAAAATGGGTTGGGAACCCTGGCAAGTGGACACCTGGACCAAAACCTGCGGAGCCAGCCCCTCTCGTTGAATTCCGAGCCACAGCCACATGGAAACCAAAAGCTAAGGTCGCCCGTCTCCCCGCCTAGGCACAGCCAGTAGCGCAAATGCTGCCCGTGCGCCTCGCCGTGGGGCGAGCCCTCGCTGGGCAACGAGTCCGAGAGGAGAAGCAGCTGCTGCACCAGCAGCGGCCTGAAGCGCTTCGATTGGCGGCAACTTTGGATGAAAAATCGATGAAGGTGTTTTTTTTGGCTATTATTATTATGATTTTATTTGTTTGTCTGGTGAATGGAACGAAACTTCCATCTAAGCCAGTGGAAGCCGTCTATTTCTCAACAAACTAACCTGAAAAGAACAACCATGTGATGATTCATGCTGCGTGCAGTCAACACAACTGCTTTTCATTGAAAAAGTGTCCCGCTGCTGGGCAACTGGGTCCGCTTGTAGGATAAACTGAAGCACCTAAGCGCATCTTTTCCTGGGCTCCAAACCAAATCCCCCAGACCTGGGAGGAAGCAGGGTGAGCCAAGACACGCGTTGAGTGCTTTGATCCCTGAGCTATCAGAAAAAGGCAACTGGCTGGTCTGGATGGAGGACCCTCAAACAACGTAGAACCGGTAAAGGTAGCTGCACTACCTTTGGTTTCCTTTCCTCACAAAACATGTTTCCAGTCTCCGATGTTTCCAGTCTCCGTAAGAACCCCCCCCTTCCCGAGTTCACGGAGGGCTTAGGACCATTTGAGTGGTGATTAAAACCGTTTGGGCACGTTTTTTGTGGTCCATCTCGGGAAGAGAGGCACTCGCTGCTCAACTTGCCCGCCTCAGCGCCTCCGGCGCCTGCGCCACGCGCTGCGCCGCGTCGCTGCCCGGCGCCCCGCGCAGCGCCAGCAGCGCGAGGCGCCGCGCCGCATCCGCGGAGGGCGGGGCGAGCACGAGCAAACCAGCGAGGGCGCTGCTGAGGGAGGAGGAGGGGAAGATCAGGGGGAAGACCTGGCGAAGTCGGCTCTTCTATTTGGAAACAAACCTAGACCACGAGAGGCTCCACGCCCCGCGCCTCCTCCGAGGCGTGTTCCAGCAGGCAGGCGCTGGCGGCAGGCGCTCCCTTGACCCGCTTCAAGCTGGGCCAGAGCTCCTTGAACTCTGCCGACCTCAGTCATAGGACTCTCCGTTGTTAGTTGAAAATCCATGGCCCTGGTCCTAGGAGTACCTTCCATTTCCATTCTTTCCATCCGGAAAATCCATGGCGCTGGTTCTACGGGTACCTTCCATTTCCATTCTTTCCAGGGATCCGAATCTTTTCAGGAACCATCTTAACAACCCAGAAAAAACGGAGCCAGCTTTGGAGAAAAGAACGATGGTTGAAAAGAATTCGGGGAATCAACCCCTAGACTGGTCGTTGATTGAACCACCAGGGAAACTAGGAATCGCCCTCGATTTTTCAACCAAAAAGGACACCTATGACCTCAGCGAAACTTCCGCTCGCCTCACGTCGCGAATAAAACGCCACCACATGAGCGACAGTACCAATACGAAATAGGAGCACGATACGACCAAAAACAATTGCTTGGCCCTTCATACTGTTACCACGGCGACTGAGCTTTCGGTGCCACCTTGTTGTGTGCCAAACAGACTTGCTGAGCAAGTACGGAACCTGGTTGGACTGGAAAAGGGTACAGACTAGGGCATCCCCATTTAATGCTGGTTTTACCCGTGTCTCCCTTTCTTCACCAACCAAAAGGGGTGAGCACTTACTGCAAACATACTGTGGATGGATGAAATCCATTTCGCACCACCTAAGGAACCATGAAATCCGTTTTGATTCCCCAACGTAAATACCAACAAACGTTATGGTTTCACCAACAACGTTATGGTTATGGTTTCAACGTTATGGTTTCAACCATTTCGTGGTGCGATGTCTGGATTTCGCAACCATCCAAAGTAGGGAAGGTCCATTTCGGCCTCGCCGATCCGCATCGCATCTAAGTCCGCGGCCCCGCTCCTAGCGCCGCGAGCGCGTGGACTGCGGCCTATGGATCCATCGGGCTCAGCCTACTGGCCGTTACAGCGACATCCCCCGAAAGTGTAGCTGGGATTTCTGGCGGGGGAGGGGGGGGGAAGAACAATGTCCCAAAAGTGTATGTCTCTTCTTTGCGAACGGGTCCTTGTACATGTTTCATTGCGGTCGACACCGATTGCACTGACATTCTGCCTTTCACCCTTTAAGGTTCAGAAAGGGGCGTGCACACACCATCGCTGGAGCCCCTTCAGGTAGGCTGCATTTCACAAAAAGTCTTCAAGACTAAGGGGCGGCTTGTTTTGACACTGTGAAATTAAAGGGGGGGATGCCCAAACAATGACCCCTCTTTGCCATTTCGAAGAAAGGGTAAAAGCACATGCCACAAAGGCGCTAGACGGAATGGCTTGGTTGCAACCCACCCATGGGACAGCTCCTCCTCGGTTTCGTTGACAAGCCAGTCGGCCGTCACTCGAGGAGAGAATGGATTTAACAAAAAGAGATTTGGTGAGACAGAATAATTTGGGAAGGTTGCCAAACAGAAATTGAGGGTAGCTCCCTAGAGTTGACACTCAAAAGATGGTAAACCCTCCCTTTCAAAAAAGGTTGCTGCGGCTTAACCCCAGCCAAGAGGTTCCCCCCCGGGTTCAAGGGCTAAAAGCCGAGAGGTTCCTGAATCCTGAGAGAGCCTTGGGCAAGCCCCCGACCGAACAGACCAACTCGGGGCCAAGTCGCCACCACCACTGCGCGGTCTGTGCCTGACAGAGGCAAGCTGGAGGCTTCCGGGGCGTGGCCGTCGGTGTGGGGAACTCTAGAAGTGTAGATGCCACATGGAACGCCCAACAAAGGGTCGTTCGACCAGAGCATCCTCCCAGGTACAGCAGGGAATGAGAATGTTTGCAGCCTGCGACTTTCTATGTCAGAATGTGCCAGGCTTGGCTGAATTTCTGAGGCCCGCCAGGAACACCGAAAAGCAAGACTGAGCAGCTGTTAGAGACTAAGGCGAATTTGCTGTAACATGCTCAATTGCGATGTTCTGCAAAGCTATGGAACGATCTACTGTTCTAGGGGTACCTTCCCCATTCTTTCCAGGGATCCTTCTTTTCAGGAAACCATCTTACAAACCCAGGGGAAACAGCCGGTTCTTGAAAAAGAACTATGGTTCAAAAGAATGGGGAATCGACCCCTAGAACTGTAGTCACAGAAGGTGCCCTCTCAAGCCCCTGAAAAAGCACCTGGTCCCTGAGAATCGGAGCACTTGTGAAACTCTCGCCACCCTGTTAGCAGGTGGAGGGGAACAAGCTGTGCAGGGCTAGTCCCGCATCTCAGTCCCATTCCGAGCAATGAAAGCCACCTTGGATTTTTTTCCCAGCTGGTCTGCAATTGAGAGTCTCAGATGCCCACTCAAAGGGACAAACACACACACACACAAACAGCACGAGACCACCAGGTTTGGTTTAGTCCTTGGTGCCCACTCTACGGAAATAAACATGCATCACCGTGGCTGGGTCTTCGGCAAAGCATCTTTCAATGTTTGGCCAAATCCCAGCACCTGTGTCGCACTACTGAGCAAAGAACCTAGGATCACTCAACCCGATCATGCGAGACATCTGCACTAGCAAGTCTAATTCAGGAAGTGAAAGCAACAGAATCCCCAAGAAAACAAATTAATCATGGCTAGGACGATTCAGTTGGACAAACGAACAAGCGGGGATACGGAGGGAGCGAGGGCGAGGGATATGGGGGAGTCAAGGTGCATCAAACGGGGGAATCCTCCCATGTTGGTTCCCCCTGTATCCCTGCTAGTTGGTTTCCCTAAGTCTAACTCAGGAAGTGGAAGAAACAGTATCCCCACAAAAACCAATTCACCGTGTAATTCAGGAAGTTCAAGTAACATCATCCCCAAGAAAACCCATTCACCGTCTAATTCAGGAAGTGGAAGCAACAGTATCCCCACGAAAACCAATTCAGCGTCTAATTCAGGAAGTGGAAGTAACCGTATCCCCAAGAAAACCAATTCACCATGGCTAGGACGATTTAGTGATTCGGGTGAGCTCGCTGCATGCAAGAGCTGCTCGCATACACGCGAAACCAGCGGCTCCGCCAACGCTGCTGTGCCAGCCTTTCGCCCACTCCATCGCCATATCTCGCAGCTTCCCGCGGAGGGAAGCGGAAGCCTCTCCCGCTTGACCACGTGTTTGGTTACCCCCTTGCAGATTCGCATGGAAGCCAAAACAAGCGATCATGTGCAGAGGGAGCGGAGACTCCTTTTTTGGGTTGGTCATAATGCATACCCCGGATTAATAAACCCCCTCAAGGTCACAAGGTCAGGTCTGTCATTTTTTTGAGGGCCCCCCCCCCCAATAGTGGGAAGGGGAACCTTGTGGGAAGGTCAGGTCAGGGAATCTTGTGGGAAGGTCAGGTGAGGGAACCTTGTGGGAAGGTTAGGTGAGGGAACCTTGTGCTGGCTTTACTAATGGGGGGGTGCTGCTGTTGCATGTGCAAAAGTTGGGCAAGTTAAAATTAGATTAAAAACTCATGATGTAGCGGGGGGTTTGGGGGAGGGGAGCTTTAATAGGGGGGGGGGTTCGGGGGAATTTTTTGTTATTGTGGGGGTGCCAGGGCAGATTCTTGGGTTTCAATTAAAACGAGTATTGGCGAGGGATTTTCAAGGAAAACCGGGCGCTTTTATAGGGTGGGTTTATTAATCCTGGGTCTGCATTATGTGCAGAGAGAGCGGATATTGATGAAATTCCTTCTTGGGTCCATGGTCATTTGCAGGCGAATACGATTGGACAACAAGAGCTCGAAGTCCCCATGCTAAATATGTACAAACAAAGGCAGCTTATGCATGGTAGTTCATGCGCGATCTGGATCCAGAGTCCAAACAACCGCCAAATTGTGCCTTATCTCTCAAAATACATCGTCCCCCTCCCTATGTGAACAGGTCGCATAGCTGATGGCTTAGGCCAGTTGCACTTGTATGATAAATAGTTGTTTGTTATTATTCTTTCCGATGTGCAACGCCAATTGCTCCCCCGCAAATGAACATTGAAGCCCGAAAGGGAGAAGTCCTCCTATGGGAGGTTTCTGTACGAGTTATACAGTTATGGCTTTCTGGGTTCCATGTTGATCTGCGGACTAAGCTTTGCTGGGTGCTACGTAGGGGGTGCCTGCAAAAAACAAAAAACATATCCCCTTTTGGCTTTTATTTGAGAACATCAGGGCTTGCACATGCAGCATGCGGTTTTGAAGCTTGTATGATTGCTTCCAAAACCAAACTTCGCCGAGACTAATATGAGCTACAGCAGTTATTTGCTACATGGTTGAATGGTTGGGTGTTCCCACCTCGTTCTCCAACCCTACAAACGTTTGGACTCATTGACCTCGTTTTCCAACGCCGCATGTGTTTTTGTGACCTGCACTGTCATTGTCCTACCTCGCTTTGAGGGTGCTCGTACCTCGTTTTTTTTGTAGCTTATTCAGTGTGTTACCCAAAAAACATGTTTCTGCTTGGTTTTTAACTACTGTAGTCTTCTGTCAATACCGGCACGATGATCCCCCCAAGGCATCCAGCGCATTCCGACACGAGCACGCCCGCATACAGAGAGGGAGCGGCACGTGCAGCAGCAGGGCCGCCACCCGAGAGTGCGGGTCTGTGACGTCTGTGATGCGGAACTCGGGGCGCGCAGTTCAGGCGGCCCTCAGCTGCACGCTAGGTGCACGCTCCTCGCTGGCCAGGAAGACTGCTTCAAGTTGCCGGCGACTCTGGGATCATGGGCAACCAGCCTAAGAGCCGCAGGCTGCAGACCGCCACCGCTCAGACTGACCCATCCCGCCCTTGGCCAGCGAAAGTTGGGCCCAGCGAGGAAAAGGCCGCCAAGGCCGCCAAAAGGCTTGGCAAGGAAGATACGGAGCCGGGAGTTGGCACGGGGCGCGCCGCACAGCAGCAGTGCAGCACGTCAAACATACGCTGCAGCGGTGCGTCTTGGTCCGCGCCTATCTCTCGGCTAGGAAAGCTTGTGTGAACGTGTGCCGAGAGCGGACCGGAGAACCACCAACCTCGCTCACATGTGAGGTGGTTTGGCACCAACCAATAGGAAGCCAACCATCGGGGCGACTAGGAGCCGACCCACCTGAGCCGACCCACCTGCGGCCCTGGGTGGGCCAAGGCAAAAATGGGGGGGAGGAGGAGGAGGAGGAGGAGGGGCCGGAGATGGGGAGGGGGGGAGGGCGAAGGGGGGACAGGGGAGCGGAAGCAAAAAATTAGATTTTGAGCAGGTGGGTCGGCTCTCTTTTCCGTGGCAGGCCCACTGATTTGAGAGCCGACCCACCTGCTCAAAATCACTCGAAATCTCCTTTCCCCTCACCTCCTTCCCCGTCTCCCCCCCCTCTCCTCCCCACCCTTCCCTGCCAAAGAGGTGGTCCATTTAGCCAGCCAGGGGAGGGAAAGCTCTCCAAGGGAGAGGGAGCGCTTTCATGCAAATTCCAATGACACACATCGACCTATAATGTAAGCAAAGTCCAGTGAGTGGATTTGAGTGGATTCGAGTGGATTTGAGTGGATTTGAGTGGAATCGAGTGGAATCGAGTGGATTTGAGTGGAATCGAGTGGATTTGAGTGGATCGAGTGGATTCGAGTAAATCTGTAAAAATGGTATTGAGCAGGTGGGTCGGCTCAGGTGGGTCTGCCCCAGTCCCCCTGAAACCACCAGGTTGGGGACCCCTATTTTGAGCTCACACCACATGGGTTCAGCACCCAGTTTGTTCCCAAACGTATCTGATCAGGGCTGTACTGTAAGAAATTACATCCACTTCTGTGATACAACAGAAAAAGGCCAAGACTGACCCCATTTTTTTAAGGGGGGATTCCCTTGTCCCAATATAAACGGGGGGATTCCCTGGAGAAAAAAAACCCGCAAGAGTCATCCCCTGCAACTGATTCAATGGGCGCCTCCACACGTTTCATCGCCTCAAGCACCGCCAGCCGCTCCGGGCTCGAGGTCGCCTGAATTGGATTCTGAGAGCCGTCCGGACTCACCACGTCTGTCCTTGACGTTGGAAGGGGAGCACAAATTTAAATTTTAGCAGTTAAGTGGTTGGATTTCAACCACCAAACCACAATAAGCAAAAATGTAAAATGTTTCCCAGCGACAACCGTGTGTCGTTAGAATTTGGGAAGTAGACAGATTCTGCCATTGGCAACTTGGTGAGTTTGCCAGTTGAGTGGGGCCCAGTTTGGGAAAACAATGGTGCCGAACAAACAGCCTAGAACTGAACGGCTATCCGTATTCAGGGTCAATGGGTTGATGTAGATAACCGTCATACTAACAGTAGCAAGCAAAGCGAAATCACCACTGCCTGCATGCGAACCAGCTCCTCAGCATCTGCATGCATGGCAGCCTTGGTATCTGCTGTGCGCATCTCATCCGGGTCTGTCTCCAACACCAAAAGTGGTGGTGGGTTAATGTGCTTTCAGCATTCCCTCTAAAGCAACGCCAAATCAGGCCAGCCGTGTCCTTTGAATTGGCCATCTCAATGCCTTTGTGCCATAGTCAAAACTCCTTATATAGCTTTTCTAGGTCCTCCAGGCTAGAATAAGGGTACCTATTTTAGTAGGGGAACCCTCCCCCAAAGAAGGGTAAAAGGCCACTACTGGGGGACCTAGTTCTGAAGTCCTCATCATGGCAGGCAAGGGTCTATGACGGCCCCTGTCAACCCCAAGTACTGGTTGCTTTGACCATGGCACATGCGGTTGCTGAACAAACAGATGTCCAATGGGTAGCCCTTTACAGGCGGCACAAAGTGACACCAGGATTCCAGCAGGGTCGTTGTGGTTTTGGCAACTTCTGCGGAGTGGATTCATAAATATTCACAAAACATGTTGCAAATGGAGCGCAACACTGTGTTGCCAACATGGATCGCAAGGGGTCCAAAAAGGATCCGTGTGCGGCAAAAAGATAATAGCTGGCACCTCAGCTTGCCACTGGAGATCAACGGAGTTTGCAACTGGATTCAACCATTTTGCTGACCCAGGAAAGGACACGAGTGGGCCACCAAGCCTTCTGAATTCTGTCTGTTACGAACGCAGGGGAATATGTTGCTCCACCCCACCTCAAAATTACCCCAAGTGCTTTTGTCGGGCAAAACCAAGGCTTGAAGAAAACAGCACCTGAAATGATGTGGCCATGAGCATCTAAGCAAACCACTTCAACGAGCCGAAGCTCTAAAATGCGAAATGCGGATATGGTGTCGTGACACGTGGGGTAAGCAGGTCGAGCGCTTTCTTGATTGCTTCATGCGTCAGTTGTCGCTGTTTGTCTGCCAAGCTCGACTGACCCCTCAACCAACCAATAACTTGGCCTTGCAACCCTGGAATGGTGTATATATACAGCCCGTAACCACATCCAACATCTTCCCTGTGATGAGTCGGCCCATAGCTTCTTTACTCTATCAAAGCAGGTTGCAAAGTCTCGCGCGCGCGTAAAACACGGCTGCGCAGGCGCTTTAGCCGACTTAATTCCCTCGCCGCCTCTTGCAAGGTGACGACGTCCCTCTTTGGAGCGCGTTATTGAAAGCTTGGGATCAAAACCCAGGCCCACGGCGCCGTTCCTGCTGAACGGGGTCCATCGCGCATCAATTGGACAAACGCCAGCACTCGAAACGGCAAAGCAACTATGGCTGGGCTAGTTTGATGCTTGCGGCTGCCTTCACCCTCTACCTTCACCCTCTACCTAACAAACATGGACATGCAGCAGACCTTGAAAGGCTACTTTCGTTGGGGACAGGAAGCCTGTGCGCGCCAACGTTTGGTCGGAAAGGTTCTTGCTGCATGGCCGATTGATGCGTCTATCAGCCCGGGGCGCGGTTTGCAGACTTGCGCTGACACTTGTGCAGCTCATTTCGTCCAGCGCCCAGCTGCTTCCCAAAGCATACTAACCCAACCACACCATATGGAAGAGTCCAACAAGTCATAAGAGTCTGCAAGAGGTCATGGGACAAACAGCAGCCAATGGGCAACTTGGAGCAAAGAACTATACACCTTAAATTATGGCACTCTATTGTGCCCGCATCTAACGCATGGAAATGACTGAGTACTCACGCAAAGTCTGGCACCACCTACTAACCAGCCCCTTGTAGCAACTCAAATCATTACAACGTTAAGAACAGCATCTGGCCAAACCTCCGAAGCACTATCGCTCCAACAATACGGGTTGTCAGCCAGCTGCCAGCTGCCAATGAACTCCGCATCGGCGCTTTCGACAGTGGCGGCTCGGGGAAACCTGCTCATCAGCCACAGTCATAACAATGCACTTGAGCCCTACATTGTGCGAAGACACATTCCTGCGTGCCAATGCAGTTGCACTGGGGAATCTGTCACCACTCAACATTTACAGCAGCGGAGACCGTTTGGAGGCGGTTTAGCGTCTTCTCACAACTTTCCGGCCCGAACCCTGCTTGCCAATCGGGGCAACGTCGCCGCAGTACTCACGGGTGGACGAACTGCGGTTGATCAAACCTTCGTTCGCCGAACCGGGGGGGAAGAACAACAGCAGGTCAAAACAGGACAGGTTCCCTCTCAACTCATCACAAAGCAATGCACACCTCGCTCCTGCTCTCCGTCACCAAATTCGGAAAGACCATGATGAAGCCTTGATTCTTGGCAGAATATGCCCAGTGTCAGGGCATTTGTCTATGTGTCAAGGAATCTCCTCAGAAAGGGGCTCTTCACATTTAGCTCAAGAGCTCAACAGCTCAGAAGCCCCTTACCCGAAAGCCTTTTCTCCATCTGAGCCCCTTCTGTTTCCTCACTACCTTGCCAGGCCTGCTACGCGTGCTCGACCTCCACCATTACCTGGCGACAGTTTCAGGCAGGTCTGGGTCGCGGAGCTTTCGCTAGAAATGAAATGATACCCTTCCTTCCACTAACATGGCACTGGTGGAAAAATACCTGGAAGATCAGTTTCCTCTTGGAGGGACCCGCTGTGAAGTGCCATGTTAGTGGGAGAGAGGGTAGCCTTTCGGATTCCACGCAAATCTGAAGCGTAGCCACCTGAACTTCCATCCAATCAGGGCGGCTTGCGGTTTCCCTTGGTCTGGTGGAAAGGCAAAATGCTTCAAACGCACAAAGGAGTAGGTGTGTTCAAAAGAAATGACCTACAGGAGAGCATGGCAACGAGCCATATTTCCCGGAGATTCAGTCGCAAACTAAGCCAATCCTGGGTCATGGTCACGGCTCCCGCAACAAGAATCCTACAAGTACAAACCCATCACAATATGCATGTCCCAAATCCTTGGCCAAGCACAATTGGCCATCGATATTTGTTCCATTGCAAATGACAAGGAACTTGAGAGTGGTGAACATGCAGTGCTCGACTTCAAACCCCGACAATATGGTTGGACCACCTTTGCCGGAAGGTTGGAACAAGGAGCCATATATACTCTTGGTATGGGAGCCAGACCACCCTTGCGGGAGGGTGGAAGGCTCTTTGACCTTGGAAGGGATACAGGCAAACGACAAGTCATGCCTAAGTCACTCCTTTACCTCTGTGGCCATGTGTTCCCCCATGTAAACGCCGATTCCAAGAAATCACTCCTAAGTCACGCCTCGGCAACAATCCCCATGGAACGCTTGACATCACCTCGCCTCCATGATGGACCTTTGAATTTGAGAAGTGGCAATGTGGAGTTGCCGTTCAGAGACATTCAGTGACCAATATTGCCAATAGCCTAATCGCCCACACCAGCAAAGCATGCAGTTCACCCCGTCAGAACATGGCCAGTGAGGGTTCTGGCCGGAATCAGCCAATTCCACAAGCGCAAAGGAAGTTAAGGCAGCCAACACTCTTCGAACCCTTTGCTGTAAGCTGACTCCAAGCCGCTTTCAAAGGGTCCCTTGCACGAGAAATTTGGCCAGATAGGAACATGAGTGAAGATTGAGTGTGCTTTGCGGGTATCCTTTTCAAATCGGAAAAGGAGAAGCCAAAAGAAAACTCCCACCATTCTGGGACCCGCTTTGACACAAACCCATATGGACGACCGGCAATTCAAGAGGTCAACTTTGCAATCCTTGAGCACCATCTCATTCCATTGCGGCACAGACGACTTATGAAAAAACACAAAGGGGCTGCTAAATGGTGAAACTTGCAGACCCATTGTCCACCATTGTTTGTTTGCTCCCTCATTTAGAGGGTAAGTTTGGGGTTTCAAGCGGGTGACAAATGTCCGACAACGGCAAACATGTAAGAACAAAGCCGCTTCCACAGCGATACCACCCGCCAGCTTCTGGCCCTTGAGCCCCGGCCAAAAACCAGCCACCGGCATATTTTGGCATTTGCGCCTCGTCCTGGGGGAAAAGTTTTTTTCCCCCAGTTTGTGGCGCCTTTTGGGCTCCGAGCCACCAAGATGGCGCGTCTTGATTCGGTCCGGAGCCGAGGACAAGAGGCCCGAAATCGGGGCGGGAGCCAACCGGAACGGGTCCCACTGGAGTGGATCACAATGCGCATAGGTGAAAGCGAGTTGATCCTTTGGCACAGCAAAACGTGGACGAAAGGGTCTCCGCAAAATTTCGGGGGGCTTTTGTTGCGAGCCCTTCGAATTCATGAACTCTGATCATCCATGAATAATTTCCCGTGGCTAGTCCACGCTGAGTGAAAGAAAGCAAGCCCCACTGAACAGGGACACCCTGGATGATTAAGGGGTGTGCTAATCAGGGTTCAGAGTTCATACGGGGACATGAGGATGCAGCCATTCTTGGTCATGCATCAACGAGCGTTTTCCGTTGCGCCTCGAAGCGCCGGGTGACTTTGTCGACCTTGGACTGCAAATCCCAATCCTGGCAGGACAACTCACAGTGATTTGGCTGTGGCTTAAAAAAAAAACTGTGCCAAAATGGCAGTTTGGTACATGGAAACAAGGACTAAAGCCTGCGTAACCCGAGCTCGTTCATTTTGAGCCACCCCCATTTGATCGCGTAAAAATATTCGGCCTGTTGCTCGGTCATGTTTTGGGGGGGACTCACTTTGACACGGGAGAAGGGGGCCGACTGCCTAGAAGGGCGGCGGAGTTTGCCTACGACCCTCACAGCTGTGCTCTGTGTTGATGCCGTGCCTCACAACATTTGGGTATGGGTCAAAAATAAACCACCAGGATTTGGACCGCAGGGTTTTAGTAGTGGTTCCATTTACCAGGGCAATGGCTACCCATTTTTGACCCACAGCCATTTGATCACATCTGACGCGCCGAAGGCTCAAAACAAAATCACAATATTCTTAAAAGATTGGCCATAACCACGGAACTACTCATTTAGTATATGCCGTGGTTGCGAAACAAAGGAAGCGAATTCGGGAACTCAAACTCAAAGAAAGCTTGCCATGCACCCCGCCCCCCTGGGTCCGCAACAATGCTAGCAAATCAACCCGCGCAGTGTTTTACATGGATGCCCTGTCAAGGGACACCAGAACTGAGGCGTTCTGAATTCAAAGGCTGATGCTAAACATGTCCAATACCCCTGATAATTGTAGAACATCATGCCCCTGACCCCAAAACCCTACCACAAGAACATGCAATCTTGCAGCACTGCCGAAATTTCCATGATACTGTTGCCTTTAAAGCGCTCACAGATTCGGAGAAGCCTGCCAATCAAGGCAAACAGCGCCACGGCATACGTGGGGGGCTTCAATCTGAAGACCTTGTGGCAACCTGGATCCCAAACTACACAGCAATGATCCACGTGGGATCACAGAAAAACACACGACGTATACTGCAAGCCAGACAGATCTTGTCATGAAGCCGTTCGCGCCCAAGCACCACCTCAAGAAGACAAGCAAGCATCTTGTTGCCAGGGGCCCAAGCAAGCGCCAATATTCTTCCCCCTCATGCATGTACGTCAGGCTGGATATCCAAGAATCATGTGCATTACTGCCGGCAAAAGCATCTTCTTATTCTAACCGGGAGGAATTTCTAGTGCAATCCCGAGCATCATGCCCCGCTCGCGGAAAGGAACGCCCAGGCTGCATGAGCCATTCGCCGAATTCCATTTTTCTGCCCAAAATAACTTGGCTTCATGTTGGCCCGCCACCTCAAGAGTATGTGTCAAAATAGGTGGAGCCCCAAACTGATCTGATTTTCCTCTGGGTCTTGGTTTTCCTTTGAAACGAACCCGGCAGCGGGTATACTGAAAAAAAAGAGAAAAAACACATACACGCACCCAGTGCCGCCCTGCCTCCTTGCTGCCTTGAAGCGGGCAAACGGGCCTTGGATGCCAAACTGGACTTCCACGGGGGGGGGGGGCTTCGCCATAGGAAAGTCGGATAGGGACAACAATTCTGGGTGAATTATTTATATTTCACCAACCTGAGATAAGGTGGTTGGGGGGCTATTCACCAAACAAAAACAAATGGGGTCAGGTCGTGAGGTCGATATAATTCACCCAGACAATTTCAGCACGGGTGTTGAATACACGAGTTGAAAGGGCTCAGTTGGGGCGATCCCATGCATTGGTCAAGTCTAAGTTCAGCGAATGCATATCACGAGGCCCTCTTTTTTCACTTGGCCTGCCCTTTGGGGGGCATATCACATAGGCCTCATGCAACGCAAAGCTGCTAAAGCCACGCGACAGGTGTGATCTGGACAAATTGGACCCAGGGTCAGTTCAATTCCTCCTACGTGGGTGCAAAAGCAAATGACTACTGTAGCAGGTGCATGAATGTTCCGACATGGCAAACATGTACCTTGCTTCTCCAGCAATCCTGGACTCGTAAAGAAGGGCTTTGGAAGTCTACCATGATCAAAGAAAGGCGACTCCTGTCGACTTCCGCGGATGTCGTGGAAACCAGGTCCCACTATAACATTCCGGATGAACTGCGGATGAACTGCGAATGGCTGAGGCATCGTCATGTTTCAGATTGCAAGCCCCAGCTTCGATTCCGTAGCCCATGTGAAACCACCCTCTGAAGGCCCAATCATGATAAGCAGCCCCTAATGGTCGGACTTGTGGGAACCAAGCTGGGTTAAAATCAAGGTTTGCAAAGCACAACACACAGAAGAACAGAGCACAACAGCACACAACACATTGAAGCAGCAAGCAAGCAAGCAAGCAAGCAAGCAAGCAAGCAAGCAAGCAAGCAAGCAAGCAAGCAAGCAAGCAAGCAAGCAAGCAAGCAAGCAAGCAAGCAAGCAAGCAAGCAAGCAAGCAAGCAAGCAAGCAAGCAAGCAAGCAAGCAAGCAAGCAAGCAAGCAAGCAAGCAAGCAAGCAAGCAAACAACCACACGCACACACACCAACAACAACACAACAGCAAGCGAGCAAGCCAGCCATCAAGCATACAATAAAGCATACAATAAAACATACAAGCAAGCATACAAACAAGCATACAAACAAGCATACAAACAACAAGCAACCAAAGAAACAATAGCAAACAAAACGAAACAAATAAACGCCTCAAACAAAGAACAAACAAAACACATTTGTTTGAACACAGATAAACAAAAAACAACGAAATAATCTACAAAGAAACACTGAGACTCGGCCAGAGATAACTAGACAAAGAAAGACAGAACAACAGTAACAGAAACAAAATACATCAATAAAGAAAGAAAGAGCAAACAAACAAACAAACAAACAAACAAAACAAACAAACAAACAAACAAAAAACAAACAAACAAACAAAAAACAAACAAACAAACAAATAACGAACAACAATCACAACACACACACACAAATACAACCAAACCAACGCAAGCACACAATGAATCAAACAAACCCATTTGAGCTGAACCTAGCGTATCATTTCTCAAGTTACCCGTTTTCTGTGGTTCAACGGAGGCCGGGAAAATCGATGGCGTGTGTGTTTGGGCGTTTTGAGCTACGCCACTTCCCTTTCACCGAGCTCCCCGAGTCCAGTCAAGGCTCTGCTCTGTGAATTGGTGCCACCAGGGGCCTAGCGACGGGCAGTTCCAACTGAGTCCGGTGCACCCAAAATGGCCCGGTAAATGGAAACAAAGACAAACACCCGCGTAACCCTAGCGCAGAAATTTTGAGCCACAGCCAAATGGCCCCGGAAACAAATGGAAAAAAGGACGAAAAAACGCGTAACCCTGGCTCAGAAATTTTCAGCCAAATGACCCTTGCTTGGTTTGGAGTGGTGGCTTGCTGGTTTGGCTTGATTTGCGCTCCTGGTTCTTGAGGGAAAATCGGAAGCCACCCGGAAACACCTCCAAACCACCCAATCCAACTAACCAATTTGAGGAAAGCTGATCTTCTTTGTTCTTTTCCAAACAACAACTGAGTCTTCATGATTGTCCATGTCCACATGATGGCAAGCTTCAATGTGTGAAGGGGTCTTCCTGTGTGCTTTGTCGACCAAAAGGAAGCCTGGACAGCCCAAGCTGCTAACACAACTGGTGCCCGAGTTGATCCAAGAAACCTTGTAAACATGTCACCCATAGAGTGCTCCCTGGAAAAGGTGCCGTTGAATCAAACAAGATCCAACAAAAAATATCCGTGAAGACATGGGACATCATCACAGTACCACCCGCCTTGGGGTGCTCAGCACAATATAATCCGCATTTTGCTCGCAATGAGCCCCAAATCCAGTAGGCTTGATGGCCTTCGAAATGGAAGAAACCCTCGGCGCAAGTGAGTGCCCCTAGATGAACACTCAAACTAGGGCTCCACGCTACTTGCTTTCATGGTGCTTTCCTTTTTAATTCAGAGTGCTTCCTGCGCGTTGACACTTTCCCATGTTAAGAATGCTCCAGAATGGCCTGAAACCAACTGCAAAACGCTGAGCCCGGCACCTGTGTTGGTTTTGTCAAAGTTTCCCCAGACGATTCCTTGGAAGACTCGGTGACCCATTTTTACCAAGGCCTTCTGAGAGCCTCCGGCCGTGAGTCTGAGGGAGTGCATCGTGAAACAGAAAGCCAGACGCCCCGATTCACACTTTCAACATGCCTATTGCGCCCTGGAGCTCGCCTTTCGCACTTGACGTTTACTCGGCCGCTTTCTGCTCCCCTGCTAAAAAAAAACTTTTAGTGGTTTAATGGAAAACCCATTAGTGGACATAACATCCCTTGGCAAAATGCAACAAAGCTTAGCAAGTCATCTGCCAAACAGAAGTCGCCCCCTCACAAAACGGGGGCGCGCCCGCCACCAGGCTTCCTGTGTCTGCATGCTTCAACCACAGTTGAAGCAACCTCCTTTGGGTGTCCCTTGAAAAGGGGCTAGGGGTTGTCGTTGAAAAAACAATAAACGTTGTTGCTTTAACAATCCTGCCTATCTATTTTTTTAGAAAAAAAAACACACGCCGAATTATTTCTCAACAGCCCTTGCACATCCCCCGACCCCCGATTTGACTCCTTCGACTCCCGCCTTTGGACTCTGCAGCTGCGCCGGGGACCGTGACGCGAAAGGCGATCTGCCGCATCGAGGGGGGCAGCCTCAGTGCCGTCCGGAAGCTCCAAAGGGGCGGAAATTAAAAAAAAAAACGTCGCCTTGGGTTCTGTGGCCCTTTGGTCAGGTTCCACTGTGACTGGTCTAGCTCCGCCATAAAAAAGGTCTATGGAGGGTTTGGGATTGGATTGAGGTTGGCTGAGCAAGCCTACACTAACCCCCACCTAAACCATCCCAGACTAGCCGAAACCAAAATCCGACACAAGACTCTCTGAAAGCCCTTCTTTTCGGGAGATCAACAGCCTAGTAGGAACCGAAAGAACTGTAGAGAACCGAAGGATACAAGACCAAACCATCCTTTTACTAACTTTGGTGTTGATCCTGGTGAGCTGAAGCGGACCAAAACAAAAACACACGATCAAAGCTTCAGCTCAAGAGGCGACATCTTCGGCGCGATAAACCTATGATAATATCCTCAAATTCCTGTGGGTCGAAAATAGGGTAACCCCAAAATGGCTTGCCCTGGTAAATGGAAACATGGACAAAAACCTGCGGCCCCCTGGTGGTTTAATTTTGACCCATGCCCAAATCCCTTGTTGGCAGAGACTTCAACTCTGAAGCCATCCTGTTGGGAGATGTGACACGGACATGATACCCGCACTGCAACCTGAAGATGACATTACCAGTTGGGTCGGTTCACTTGCATTACTTAGAAATCCGGAAATCGCACCGTTCAGAACCCCCTCCGATTTCTGTTGAGGCCCCAGCGTAAATACCAACCCAACCAATGGTTTCAGCCATGGTCTCCATGTGGTGCGAAATGGATTTTGTCCACAGTACTATGGACGAAATCCAGCACCACTTGGAAACCATGGTTGAAACCATTGTTTGCTGGTAATTACGTTGGGGAATCATCAGGCACCAGGGCTGCACCAGGGTTTCTGAACGGTGCTGCGAGAAGCGGATTTCGCCCACCGTATGTTCCCCCTCCCTTGACCCCACATTCCACGAGTGAAGGCCAAGCAGCGACGAGGTCTCGCATTTGATGAATAGTCTGCCGCGGCCCCCGGCCTTCACAAAACCTCTTCCGCCTGACGCGTGAAATCGGAGCATCGAGTGAGGGACTGCCGAAACCTGCTTGGCCGTAGAGATCTAGTTCTCGGTTTTGAGTCGGTTTTGCGCACTTTGGACATGCAATTCAACCCCTCTTGATATTTTGTGGTCTTCGTAGGTTTTGGCCGCTCGAGTGAAGGCTCAACCCCTTTTGGATCGTGCTGAAAGGGAAAACAAGCGGAGGCCATTGCCATTGGCAAATCATGTTCTATGTATTCTATGTATTGTTCGTGTTTCGGTTGCACCATAGTTGGGTGTTTTGATGAACCCTGTGATCTTCCTAAAGGTCATGGTCTCGGACAAGTGCGCAACTCAAACTATTCGCTCCAAGCGGGATCTTGCAAAACGGTTTGGCGAGGGCGTTGGCAGGGGACTAAATGATGCAGGCACTAAGAGTACCCCACCAAACGCTATTGCGAGTTAAAACTGATGACATTCGACTGGCTTCATGTTGTTGTTGTCATGGTTGTTGTTGTTTGCAGCGACGGCGACAACGGTGGCAACGGCAATGCCGCTGCTGTTGTTGCGGCAGTTGTTGAGCTTGCTTTGGTTTTATTGTTGGTTGCTGCTTTGGGTGTTGGAAGTTGGTAGTTGGGTAGAGAGTGTTGGCTGTTGTTTTTAGCTGGTGGTTGCCTGCCGGTTGGAAGTGCGTTGGTTGGCTGGTTGGCTGGTTGGCTGTTCTACTGGTTGTTTGTTTGTTTGTTTGTTTGCTTGTTGATGTTTTTTGTCGGTTCGTTTGTTGGTTTGGTGTTGCCTGTTTTGTCGTGAAGGTGGCAGGAGCCTTACTCTCCAGTCGCGAGGTCAGAACACTCCCACGTGGGATGTGCGGTGCTCGTGGGAGTTGCGCTGTGTGCTGGTTTCTAAAAGGACATTTGCGCTTGCTACGCCCAGACTGTGTAAGAATGCCTCTGAGTGTAGCCACTTGGGAAGTCATGTGCACCAAGACAAACCATGTCTGACGTCACCACAAGCCGCAAGGCCGGACAGCAAACAACATGTTTGTTGTCCCCCCAACAATCAAACTCAAGCACATAGAGAAATTGGGGCAGGCCCCTGGTTTTTGTGGGGAATATGGGTGGGCACCATGACCAGCCAAAACTATCAAACAACTTAGCGTTGCCACTTGAAACTCCACCCCTGCCTTTGCCCTTTGTCTCTTTGGCCAAGATCCTCGGCCGAGCTTAGTTTCTCAGTGAAAGCAAAACGAAATGCTGTCAATCCGGATAGCGATTCCAAAGTAAGCTCAGCGAAGGTATCCCTCGCCTTAAACTGTGGAGAGGTGAAGTGCGGTAGCCCTTGCCTCAAACTGTGGAGAGGTGAAGTGCGGTATCCCTTGACTTAAACTGTGGAGAGGTGACGTGCGCTATCCCTCGCCTTAAACTGTGGAGAGGTGAAGTGCGGTAGCCCTTGCCTTGAACTGTGGAGAGGTGAAGTGCGGTAGCCCTTGCCTCAAACTGTGGAGAGGTGACGTGCGCTATCCCTCGCCTTAAACTGTGGAGAGGTGAAGTGCGGTAGCCCTTGCCTTAAACTGTGGAGAGGTGAAGTGCGGTAGCCCTTGCCTTAAACTGTGGAGAGGCGACGCGCGCTATCCCTCGCCTTAAACTGTGGAGAGGTGACGTGCGCTATCCCAAGCCCTAAACTGTGGAGAGGTAAAGTGCGGTATCCCTTGCCTTAAACTGTGGAGAGGTGAAGTGCGGTAGCCCTTGCCTTTAATTTTGAAGAGGTGAAGGGCGGTAGCCCTTGCCTTAAACTGTGGAGAGGTGCGGTGAAGTGCGGTATCTCTGGCCTTAAACTGTGGAGAGGTGAAGTGCGGCAGCCCTTGCCTCAAACTGTGGAAAGGTGAAGTGCGGTAGCCCTTGCCTTAAACTGTGGAAAGGTAAAGTGCGGTAGCCCTTGCCGTAAACTGTGGAGAGGTGAAGTGCGGTATCCCTTGCCTTAAACTCTGGAGAGGTGAAGTGCGGTATCCCTTGTAAAGTGCGTAGCCCTTGGCTTAAACCGTGGAGAGGTGAAGTGCGGCAGCCCTGGCCTTAAACTGTGGAGAGGTGAAGACTGTGGAGAGGTGAAGAGCGGTAGCCCTTGCCTTAAACAGTGAAGAGGTGAAGTGCGGTAGCCCTTGCCTTTAACAGTGGAGAGGTGAAGTGCGGTAGCCCTTGCCTTAAACTGTGGAGAGGTGAAGTGCGGCAGCCCTTGCCTCAAACTGTGGAAAGGTGAAGTGCGGTAGCCCTTGCCTTAAACTGTGGAAAGGTAAAGTGCGGTAGCCCTTGCCGTAAACTGTGGAGAGGTGAAGTGCGGTAGCCCTTGCCTTTAAACTGTCGAGAGGTGAAGTGCGGTATCCCTTGTTAAACTGTGGAGAGTCGAGAGGTGAAGTGCGGTATCCCTTGCCTTGAACCGTGGAGAAGTGAAGTGCGGTAGCCCTTGCCTTAAACTGTGGAGAGGTGAAGTGCGGTATCCCTTGTAAAGTGCGTAGCCCTGGCCTTAAACTGTGAAGATGTGAAGACTGTGGAGAGGTGAAGAGCGGTAGCCCTTGCCTTAAACTGTGAAAAGGTGAAGTGCGGTAGCCCTTGCCTTAAACCGTGGAGAAGTGAAGTGCAGTAGCCCTTGGCTTAAACCGTGGAGAGGTGAAGTGCGGTAGCCCTTGCCTTAAAAAATGGAGAGGTGAAGTGCGGTATCCCTTGCCTTAAACTGCGGAGAGGTGAAGTGCGGTATCCCTGGACTTAAACTGTGGAGAGGTGAAGGGCAGTAGCCCTTGCCTGAAACTGTGGAGAGGTGAAGTGAGGTAGCCCTTGCCTTAAACTGTAGAGAGGTGAAGTGCGGTATCCCTTGCCTTAAACTGTGGAGAGGTGAAGTGCGGTAGCCCTTGCCTTAAACTGTGGAAAGGTGACGTGCGCTATCCCTCGCCTTAAACTGTGGAGAGGTGAAGTGCGGTAGCCCTTGCCTTAAACTGTGGAGAGGTGAAATGCGGTAGCCCTTGCCTTGAACTGTGGAGAGGTGAAGTGCGGTATCCCTTGTAAAGTGCGTAGCCCTTGGCTTAAACCGTGGAGAGGTGAAGTGCGGTAGCCCTGGCCTTAAACTGTGGAGAGGTGAAGACTGTGGAGAGGTGAAGAGCGGTAGCCCTTGCCTTAAACTGTGGAGAGGTGAAGTGCGGTAGCCCTTGCCTTTAACTGTGGAGAGGTGAAGTGCAGTAGCCCTTGCCTTAAAACGTGGAGAAGTGAAGTGCGGTAGCCCTTGCCTTAAACTGTGGAGAGGTGAAGTGCGGTAGCCCTTGCCTTACACTGTGGAGAGGTGAAGTGCGGTAGCCCTTGCCTTAAACTGTGGAGAGGTGAAGTGCGGTAGCCCTTGCCTTAAACTGTGGAGAGGTGAAGCGCAGTAGCCCTTGCCTTAAACTGTGGCGAGGTAAAGTGCGGTATCCCTTGCCTTAAACTCTGGAGAGGTGAAGTGCGGTATCCCTTGTAAAGTGCGTAGTCCTTGGCTTAAACCGTGGAGAGGTGAAGTGCGGCAGCCCTGGCCTTAAACTGTGGAGAGGTGAAGACTGTGGAGAGGTGAAGAGCGGTAGCCCTTGCCTTAAACAGTAAAGAGGTGAAGTGCGGTAGCCCTTGCCTTTAACAGTGGAGAGGTGAAGTGCGGTAGCCCTTGCCTTAAACCGTGGAGAGGTGAAATACGGTAGCCCTTGCCTTAAACTGTGGAGAGGTGAAGCTGTGGAGAGGTGAAGTGCGGTAGCCCTTGCCTTAAACTGTGGAGAGGTGAAGTGCGGTAGCCCTTGCCTTAAACTGTGGAGAGGTGAAGTGCGGTAGCCCAGGCCTTTAACTGTGGAGAGGTGAAGTGCGGTAGCCTTTGCCTTAAACCGTGGAGAAGTGAAGTGCGGTATCCCTCGACTTAAACTGTGGAGAGGTGAAGGGCAGTATCCGTTGCCTTAATCTGTGGAGAGGTGAAGTGCGGTAGCCCTTGCCTTAAACCGTGGAGAGGTGAAGTGCGGTATCCCTTGCCTTAAACTGTGGAGAGGTGAAGTGCGGTATCCCTTGACTTAAACTGTGGAGAGGTGAAGTGCGGTAGCCCTTGCCTTAAACCGTGGAGAGGTGAAGTGCGGTCGCCCTTGCCTGAAACTGTGGAGAGGTAAGGTGCCGGTGCGGTATCCCTTGCCTTAAACTCTGGAGAGGTGCAGTGCGGTAGCCCTTGCCTTAAACCGTGGAGAGGTGAACTGCGGTAGCCCTTGCCTTGAACCGTGGAGAGGTAAAGTGCGGTAGCCCTTGCCTTAAACTCTGGAGAGGTGAAGTGCGGTAACCCTTGCCTTAAACTGTGGAGAGGTGAGGTGCGGTAGCCCTTGCCTTAAACTCTGGAGAGGTGAAGTGCGGTAGCCCTTGCCTTAAACCGTGGAGAGGTGAAGTGCGGTATCCCTTGCCTGAAACCGTGGAGAGGTGAAGCGCGGTAGCCCTTGCCTTAAACCGTGGAGAGGTGAAGCGCGGTCGCCCTTGCCTTAAACTGTGGAGAGGTAAAGTGCGGTATCCCTTGCCCTAAACTCTGGAGAGGTGAAGTGCGGTATCCCTTGTAAAGTGCGTAGCCCTTGGCTTAAAGCGTGGAGAGGTGAAGTGCGGTAGCCCTGGCCTTAAACTGTGGAGATGTGAAGACTGTGGAGAGGTGAAGAGCGGTAGCCCTTGCCTTAAACTGTGAAAAGGTGAAGTGCGGTAGCCCTTGCCTTAAACCGTGGAGAGGTGAAGTGCGGTATCCCTCGCCTTAAACTGTGGAGAGGTGAAGTGCGGTATCCCTTGCCTTAAACTGTGGAGAGGTGAAGTGCGGTAGCCCTTGCCTTAAACTGTGGAGAGGTGAAGCAAGTCTCGTGAACCCTGGAACTGCCACTCCAAGCCTTACACAACTCGCGCCTGGTGAATTTTCAGCTTGAAACCGAAGCATGTGGCCTGGTGCTGCCAGTTGCCGGCACCGCCGGCATGATGGGCGAGCTCAGTTTACACACCCCCAACAGGACGCGAGATGCCCTGCACAACGCAGTGCCTTGTTCTGCTAGATGTGGGAGAAGCAAACAAACAACACCAGTAGCGGAGCAGGGGCATGCGCAAGGACGTGCCCAATCAATAGTGGTCTTCAAGCGGTTTCCACTTCAAGCTTGTCGAAGACTCAACCGCGCATGTGTTTAAACAATCGGGGCGAACGAGGTTTCGCTTTTTGCGAAGCGAAAATGGTTCTGCCTTTTGCTTCCTTTCGCTTCCCGAGCCAAGGGAATGACTCCTTCGAGACTTTCCATCAGCTTGGGCTCTGCGAGACGTCCCTCCCGGGGTCCCTCGCCCGCCGAGATCCGCCGAGCGGCATGATGCGGAAAGGCTTCGGTGTGAGCCCGGGCAGGTTCAGCTCGAACTCCGGCGATAGCATCCTCGGACATTCACGTGCGCCTGGTAAATGCAGCTCTGGTGACTGCGGTGTTTTGGAATTTAATTCTGCCCAGAGATCAACCAATCCTTCCGAAAGAGCCCTCATCTCCTTTTTGCGCCCAAGAAATGGAGTTCTCCGAAAACAACTGATTCATTCGTTACAGAGCGGCTTCAAATGGGCCAGGGCTTTTAACCTCCAGCGCGAAGCAAGGCCACCATTGTGTTACTAGTCGATGTCAAAGTCTGTGTATGTTGACCCCATACTACATATATTAATCAACCCCAGTTTAATAGGGGGTGTCGTGGGTTTAGTGGGGAATCTGGGGAATCAGACGACTTTTGGAGGGGAACACCCCCTATTCATAAACTGGAGTCGATTCATCTGGGGTCAACCAATTAAAGAGAACCCCCCCCCTCCCAAACGGGGAAGCAAAAATCTGTGGCAGCTCTGGCATGATAGCTGGGACCCCCGACTGCTTCTCCTGAGACTCAAGTTTTCGAGCGTCCACCTTCCATCGGATGAGCTCCTGAGAGACCAAGAGACCAAGGGAGCTGGCTTCCAACGGGGGCTCCAGGAACAAAATCGGAAACGCGGTGGTCTGACTGCATCAATCCGCGGAAAGTGGACCCCTAATTCACCGACACAACAAGGCCCAAGTTGGTAAGCTCACCCCGGGACCTCCCCGGTATGAAGCCTCACAGTGGCTCACAGGTTGTCGCAGGGTGGTAGTTGGGTCATCTTGAAAGCCAATGCGTGGGACCGCTCTGGCGAAGAATGATGGCACTCACAAAATAACCATCTTGGGATTAGGATTTAACATCGCTCTGATAGATGTGTAACGACAACAGTCAGGGGCTGAACACCCCCGCGCGCCCAGAATATCAAGTGTTTGGAGACGAGGAACATTGGCCATGCTCCAGATATTAACGCAACGACTTCAAGCAGTGTCAAGCAGCTTGCCACTTGCAGAAAACCAACACACGCATTGACCAAAGCAAGACTAGGTCATGTCAAAACAGCGTCTCCAAAATGGTCCATTCGGTTTAACGCGTCTTGCGAACCGTTTGCAGCTGCTCAGACAAACCCGCATTTCACACCTCTCCAGGCTGCAATGCCACCATATATGCTACCATCAAGGAGCAAGCATAGTCATTTGCGCTTGCTATTCATGTGGCTGTGGGTCAAAATTAAGCCACCAGGAATCGGCCCGCAGGTTTTAGTCCATGTTTCCATTTACCAGGGTTCCATTTTGGGGTTACCCTATATTTGACTCACAGCCATGTCGGAAGTGCACCTTGTTCTTTTTGTTGTGTCATCGCCGCCAGTGAGGTGCTGCCAACATGATCACACAATCCATTGTACCGCCTCCAAGAGCAGGTTGGAGGCTACCCCCAAGACGACAAAAGACTTTGACCATGTTCTCCTCGTGCGGTGGGTGGCGCAACATTCCGAGCACCTGTCTTTTTGTAGTCAAGAGTGTAGCCTATTCTGGACGCAACGGACGATATGCCGTTGGGCCGTCAATTTGTTGAGGGAAACGACCAGTTCTGCAACACCAAGGTGGGCCATCCCCATGACTACTTTCTCACCTCAAAGGCGATCCCCTAGGCAAGTATCACAACAGTGGGCGCAAAAACTATCCCAATCTTCCAACAATCGTGTTGTGATGCACAACTAGGTCCTCCAGATTCGAGAGGTTAGAACAAGGGTACCCTTTTTTCAGGACGTCTATTTTAGAAGAGGTATCCTCCCCCAAAAAAGACACGGCAAAAGGGCACTTGGCTGGGGGACCTAAACAGGCTGCACCCGTCCTTTCCATTGGGCAAGAGTACGCGCTCCAAGGGCGACGGCGAAGCTGTATCGCAGTTCGCCTGAGATCCGCGCCCGGCTGGCGTTTCAAGGCGAGCGCCGAGTGCCGAGTGCCGAGTGCCGTGGCGAGTATGCATGGCCTGGAAGTAAACAAGTACCTCTTCCAACCTAACAGCAAGTTTTTCATGTTCTACCAGGTCCTGCAGCAGAGAGGTTAGAATAAGGGTACCAACTTTTTTCTGTTAGTAGGGGAATCCTCCGCCAAAAAAGGGTAAAAGGGGACAACTGGGGGACCTAGAACAATGCGCTACTAAGCAAAATCGGCTGGGAAAGGAATGGTGGCCATGCCGATGGCTGTCCTGGCATGGATTTGTGAGGCTACGCAGTGGTACTGGAGCGCGCTTGGAGCTTAGCACCTTCAGAATCCAGGCGGCTGCCGGAATCGAAGAAGTTCTGCCAAGAAGTACTGGCTGCTCGGGCCTGCCGTCAAACAACGACGCAACGACAAATTCATGTTGCTGGCTGGCATCGCTGTAATCATCACCGCTGCAACAGCAGGCTCAACGACCACAACACATCGCACCATCTGAACAAAAGAGACAAGCAGCAGTGATGTCGGGAAGTCCAGCTTCTTTGCTCTTTGGATACTTGTAGCAACAACACATCGCAACAACCAATTGGACTGTAAAAGTAACAAACATCGGAAGCTACGCAACTCATACCACCATCGCAGACTCCTGGATAGATCATGGGTTCCAGAATGCTGCACAAACGCAACAAAGCACGATGCATCAACAATCATCAAGACGCATCGTCCCCCTGTGCTGCACCACACGCAAGAGCGTGCTCTGGTGCTTGTTGTGGTGTGGAACGAATCAGCACGCTTGGCTGGTCGTTCAACTCCAGGCCTTCTGGTCTGGTCAACAATCTTGCCCCAATTGCTTGCCAACGTCCGATGAATTCTAGATCCTGCTTACTAGAACCAGTTTGTGGCCCTCGGGCCGGCCTAACCACACACACACGCACTGAAAATACGCCTTCACGCCTGCACACCTACACGCCGCCACACCGGGACACCTTTGACACCTACACACACATGCGCTCAAGTTAATGACCATGCGCCAAACCTACACGGAAAGCCACGCGTTACATGAGGAGCTAGTGGTGGCAGCTTGGCGGCCAGAATGGCTGAATCCCAAGTCAGAAAATTAATCACAATGTTATGTCACTTCGCTCGGAGCAAACATGTGATAGCTGAGTTGTCCTGTTGCCCTCTTCTGGGATGAATAGCTGATGCCTTTTCTTAACTAATTCGACAGCTGCCAGAACCATGCGACTTCAACCACTTCAATAAAAACACACTCGGCCGCTTCTGTGGATTCTAAGCAGCATGTTGCCCGCTTGCAGTTTGAAAGGGATCATAACACAGAAGGATACTGATCCTATTGTGCAAGTCTTAAGTAATTGTTCCAACCAACTTCTGCTCATTTCATGTTCGACGCAATGGCTAGTTCTTCAAGCCCTACTGTGGGCGGAACAAAATCCAGCACTGTATGTGGTTTATCACATCTTTCATCGGGATTCATCCATCCCACGACCCAGTGCATCCAGCCTCTATATTTGAAGGGTGACCAAGGGAAGGCTGAGTGGACATCAAGGATTAATCAACCGCATCACATTAATACGCAGCTGTCCTAGTAGAGAGGGGATCCTTCAATTTTGGCGGGACAGCCCCCCCCCCCCCCCACATCAGTCCAAGAGGTTTAGGAATGCAGGGTCAACATGACCTACTGTAGTCGTCCTCCCTGCAAATTCAAACGGAACCTGGAAAGCCATCATGTGTAGAGGAAACTCTTCTAATTCGGGGCCTCCATTAAAATTTGCGCATGTGTTTAAAACAAAATGTCTTTGCGCGGTTTTCCTTTTTGGCTTCCCTTTTACCCAAGCTAAGAAGGCTACCCTCAACACAACACATGGCCTGTCCTTTGGCTTCCCCTTAAACCCTTCAACCAAGCTGAAAAAGTACCCTCAACAAAACACACACCCCATAAAAGCAACTCTAGCTAGGTGTTTTAGTAGAGAGGTTAAAATAAGAATACCAACTTTTTTCTGTAGTCTATTTTAGTAGGGTTCGGAACCCTCCCAACCAAGAAAGGGGAGAGGTCGGGCACCTAGCTGGGGACCTAGCTAGGATCCAACGTGCAATCCCGCCTCGGGCTGCCACTGGGTGAGCCGATGGGTGTGCCCACCGGCGACAGCACCGGCACGACTGCGGAATGGGATCGATGCCGTTTCTGGGGTTCAACCCCCATCTTCCATTTGGTTGAGGCCCCACGAATATATGTATATATATATATATGTCCAGTAATGATGAACTCCTTTTAAAACCAACAAGGGAGAATAAACATGTTCTTAAGCAATTGGAGGCCATTCAAATAATGACAAGGACCCAATTTGGATGAACATTCTCAGCTAAATACTGGTGGCTATCTCCACACCAATTGTTTTAATGGCGGTTTTAATGGATTTGTTTTGCCGTCCCAAGCTTGCACCATGGGAATAGATGGTCTTGGAACTTAGCTGAAAGCGCTTGGCTGTAGCCAAAGTGACCGAAAAGGACATGCTTGGTCTAGCAAACAGAACTGCATTTGCATCTTGTGAAGGAAACAAGTGGCACCAGGCCTATGTAGACAGAATGCCATCCACAAGTGTTGCTTGTGGAAAAAGTAGCCATGGACCCCGATCGCGGGATAAGAGAAGGCAAAAACACATTTGGCTGCAGATCGGCAAGGTGCCCGGTGAGCGATCCCCTGATTTGAATCGTTGAATTCTAATTGGCAGAATGCAGTTGTTAGGTTGGACAGCCCCAAAACACATTAAAATACCTTGATCAAACACAGTAATGTCAGTGCATGATTCAGTCAACCCGCCGCGACGAAACGTTCTTCCCTCCCAGATTCCACCCATACTAGAGTAAAGGGCAACAAGGTTCTGGGTTTTGTGCCAGCAAAGGGGCTTTCCTTTTTGCTTCGTATTTGCTTAGTCTCTGCTTCAACCAACCAATATTAAGCCACCATTAAACTTCAAGTTTTGACAAACAATGTGCTTCCGCAACATGTGTTTTTTTTGCTAAAGCTTGTTTGATCTGACGAGGTGTTCAAGCTCTCATCAACAAAAAACAGGGCTTGTTTGCGCTCGAAACACAGTCCCAAAACTGATGTTGCCATTTAAAGTCCTCTTTCCAGCTTCATTGGCTGGTAAGGGGTCAGAAATGGCCAGAAGTAAAAGGACGAGGACAGAAGGGGTTCCAGATTAATCAGGGGCGTCCTCCAACAAATCTCAGTTTGGACTTTGGTCCAAATTTTGTTGACCCTGAAAGGGGGGGACCTCTACCAATCAGGCAGAAACAATTTCCGAGAGGATCAGGAAACTTTGTCGGAATACAACGAGCTACCTGGAAGCCCTGCAGCTGACTGAAAAGCGTCTGAAACCAGGCAGCTTCCCAGTGAACAAACACTGCTTCCTAAGCGTTCATTCTACGGCGTCTGCAAACAATTACCTGGACAGTAAAATAGGTGAACTGGTGGTTTACACTAGGTCCGGAGCAAATACGCCGGGCCTGGCCAGCAAATAAACAAAGGGAAGTCAAACTGGTGTTTTCCTGGTCCGATTGGCAAGCACCCGGCCCGGCCAGTTCAAAAACATCCGAAATAATGAAGCAAGTGGGAATTACAAGTTCCCAAACCGTTGAAGCCCAAACAGTTGAACTCCGGCCGCTCTGGAGCCTCGGAGCCCAAATGTTGGAACCCCGGCCGGAGCCCAAGTTGGAGAACAGTGGAAACTCCAGCCCTTGGACAGTTGGAGCCAAACAGTTGGAACCTCCACCGAAGCCCAAACACTTGGAACCAGTTCCCAAACAGTTGGAGCCCAAAGGGAAGCCCAGCCAAGAAGAAGCGGTTGGAACCCAAACACTTGGTTGGAGCCCAAACAATTGGAACCCCAGCCGGAGCCCCCACACTGTTAGCGCGCACAACAAAGGATCCCAGACAGTGGGACCTCCAACTCGCCTTTCTAAATGAACGGACACTTAAACAGATGTAATCTCCCATCGAGCCGCAGGCCCGGCCAGATGTAAATACCCGGATTAAACAGGCTTTTTATAGCTACCTTCCACCCCCTGCCCGCCCTCCACATATGAATATTTGTAGACACAGTAGACAAACACCAGCCTCTTGTGGCCATCTCTGGTTCTGGTAGAAAGCATCCTCAACAGTAAAATGCAAGATGTACGCTTTTGGCGCGTTAGAAAATACAGGCCCCAGTCCTCAGTTGATGTATAAAGTTTGTCCTGCCCAGGGATGTGTGAGGTCTGTAACTGGGTACGGTTGCTTTGTGGCTAAGGATCTATGAATTGCGGAAATCGGCGTGACATAGCAACGCTTCGTAGAGCTTCTCAAAAATGAGTCCACAAGCCTCACCAAGCTTTGGCTCCGCATTGACCAGAGACTGGAGAAACTCTTAGTGAGGGTTGATGGGCACCCCTTCCGCCCCGCGAACAACCAAACCGGGCTCCAAACCCCCCCCTTTTCGAGGGAAGCTGAGCATAGACCCCAGATATCGAAAACAGGAACGCATGCTCTCCAAGTCTCACCATTCTCACCCATTACACTTTGTATTTGTCTGCCTCTCCACCAAGGCCATGTGGCTGCGGCTGTGGCTTCGCTGGAATTCCTACTAGTAAGTGCCTTTACTGCAACTGCATGCTCAAGCCCGCAATACTGAACGCCGTCACTTGCAAAGCAATTGCTCCAGCGGCTGGTTCAAGCAAAGAAGGGCTCACCCAAAATCGATTCCCTGACAATCCTGTCCGATGCTCACCATGTGAATGTGTAGAGCGGCTATGGTTCAAACACTGCCATACCCATACCCCGCCCGAACTTGCCGGCGCCTGTCATGCCAGGCATGTTTTGGCAAAGCATCTGAACCTCACAGCAGACCCGCCCAAGGTTGCACAGCCGAAGCCGAGCCGCTGAATGATACCAAAAACACATTTTCGCGCACGCACACATTGGTTCTGTAGCCTGGTTCTGTAACCCATGCAGTCAGCTCTTCGGATAAGCTACCGCGCGGAAGGGGCAACAAAAGTGACGCATGCAGGCAGCTTGCAACTCGCAACACGGCAGAACCTTTCTTTAGCTGCAAACAGGAGTCGGATCTGGTAGGATTCATCATCGTGAAGTGGCAGCACTGCATCAATAATGATCGGACCCAAGAACAAGTCTCTGCGAGGCCACATCGATCAATGTTCGACTGGAATACAAATCATATCAACTCCGTGTGCCAGAGCGAATGCACCTGAATAAGTGGCTGTTTGGTTTTTGTTCAGCTCGGTTTGAAGTTTAAAGGGACACCAAAAGGAGACCCACCATTTTTAGGGTCCCCCTATTTTGACACATACCCAAGTGTGAACAACGCCAGGCTGAATGTACCGTGCTCCCATTTCCGTGACTCGGCGAGATGTTTCACCCCCAGAACCTGATGCTGACAAGCTGCAGGGATGGCTTGCACACAAACCATGGAAGATTGCGGAGGCTGCAGGGTATTCTGTACGGATTTTTGCGGCTGCTGTTGCAACGGCGGCTGCGGCTGCGAAGGCTGCGGCGAAGGCGGCTGCTGCATATCCTTGTCCGCCGGCTGCAATTGCATCAGCTTCTGCTGTTGCCTAGGTGCCTTCGCATGGCGCGGATGTGTGAGTGGGCAAGATCGGCTTGACAGCAAGACAACACGTATCCAAAGATCAAACACGTCTGCTTCATGAGTGAAGTCGTTCCCCCACAGGTGGAATGCCATCCGAGAAGCCCAATTTGATCACCCGGCTCCAGCTTTGCCCCCCAAACAAACAGAAGACATGTGCGTGTCTCAAATTCGAACAAGAGCGGCCATCTCTGCAATGCCAACGTGCTCAGGTTGCAAAGTGCCATTCGCAGACTGTCGAGTTGATTGTATCCTATGTCCTCCAGTGGAGAGGTTGGAATAAAGGTAACATATGTTTGTTCTGTAGTCTATTTTAGTAGGGGAACCTCCCAACCAAAAAAGAAACGGGAAAAGGGCACCTAGCTGGGGGACCTAGTATCTCATCCCAAGCACAACATCCCAAGCTAGTCACCAAGTCCCGCCTCGCCTGGGTCGGAAAAGGTCTTCCACCTACCAAGGGAAGACATGAAAGAGGGAACCTTCCCGCCAAGCGCGGAAGCGCGAGCGCTTCCTGGCTCCCTTCCGTGCAAAACCTCTGTGCACTTCCATGATCGTGGTTCCCCGTTGAGCATGTCGTAGCAACCGATTTGTAGTAATTAGAACAAGGAAGAGCTGTCCGTGTTGTTGGCGCGTCACAAAACTTTCCACGGCACATGATGTCAACAAGGTTGGGGTTGCCCTTCGCTCGTTGCTGAATGCAAGTTATCCAATGCAGCCAATGATCAAAGCAGAAGGGTGGCAATCCAAATTGTGGCCGTGCTGAACATGCTGTTCTCAACTTTTGCCGACCTACCAAGTCTTAGCTTTTCCGTTGATGTTCCTCTACAGCTACGGGCCCTTGCCAATGCTTGAATGCATAGCAGCCGTCTAAATCTCATCTGCAGCGAGCAGATTCAATTTGAACCACCGAGTTTCCGCTCCAAACCTTGGATCCAGCGAGTGCGTACGCGAAGCAGCGCTGACAGCAGTGAACTGCTTGACAAGAATGAAGGGTGTAGAACCGGGATCGCCCAGAATTCTAACCTGCTCCCATCGGATGTGTGCTGAATGCCCGAGCCTGAGTAATATCGTTGCAAGGTGCCTCAATCATTCAAAAGGCTGTCCAGCTGTCCCGATGTTGAGATATCCTTTGTTGATAGCATTCTAGGTCCCGAAGCCCTTCCCCTTCAAAGCCAAAATGCCACCTTCTCCCACCAGGGATTTCACTTTTCATGGCTCCTCATCCCCAGGTGTTTCATCAACATCCAGCCGGGCTCTGCTCAAATCGCGTCGAACCTTATTTATGGACCTGGCATCTAGGGCAACTTGACTGCACCTTGGCTAGGGGCATCTTCAGAGAAGTTTCCTGCACAAAATCGACCTCCTTTTCCCCTTGCCAAGCGTCAAAACCTCCAGAATCAGTGTTCTTCACCCCAACAACATCTCGCTTCCAGAAGATATGTCAGCTTGGGCTCCAATGTCCCGGCAACCTGGAACTGCCACTCTTCCGTGAGCCATAAGCTGCAAACGTCGCGTCAACGCGACGCCCCCCCCGGCTCCCGGCGCCTAACTGGTCACCGGCATCTTCGAAAGGGTCGAACGTGCACACCTCGCGACAAGTGCCCGTGAGGAGGGGCTCCCCGAGTCAATTCTAGGGGTAACTGTCCCATTCTTTCCATGGATCTTTCCTTCTAGAAAACCACCAAAAACCCTGGGGAACTGGCTGGTTTTTGAAAAGAACGATGGCTGAAAAGAATGGGGAATCAACCCCTAGATCAATTGGAGATCCTTTGCGTATGTGGCAGCACGAAGTAGATGCTCCCCGAAAAGGAGGGGGGGACCAGGGTGTTTGGGTTTAAGCAAAACAACGGTAGACCAGCATAACATGTACGGCCTGATTTGTAGGATACTCATTGTGATAGTGCGTTTGCGGAGAAGGCCGGACCTGGCGCAAAGGTCATAGAACCACTTGGGCTAAGGCGGGGTGCAGTGAAAACAAACATCTTCAACATGTAAAGAATAGCCAAGCCTGAATAAAGAACCAAGCCTATGGAGGGATCCTTCATTGCAGGTAAGCTCGTTTACCCCTGCAGAACTGCAGTGGTAAGTCCCTGCCCAGGTGTTCCAAACATGGCTCGTTGGCGAGCCCGAAACAACAAAGACTGCACAATGGCCAACAAGATTGCTTAAAACAAGCCCGTTGCTCGGTGAGAAGGGCTGCGGGTGACTTCACACATGTGCAACATATCACAATAAGCATGCAATCCGTCAGTCAATCCCACAAGTGTGCCATGGCGTCTCCAAAATAGTCCCCAACCTCATGTGTGTTTGGTTGCTTGCTTGCTTGCTTGTTTCGCATGCAGCAACAAACAAACTGTGTGTATCCCATCTCCACCGAATTATTGTTGTTGCTGCTGCTGCTGCTGCTGCTTGCTGCTCTGGCTTGGGCTGTTGCTGCTGTGCTTGCAGCTAAAAGGCTGCTCTAAGCAGCGTTGTCGATGCGCAGGCGCTCTTCAACCGCTTTGCGAAGCGAGTGCACTGCACTGGCAATACTTCCGGGCCGGGCATCGACACTTCTGGGTCTGTCGTTGCCCAGCCCATGGTTCATACTGTGGATGGACAAAACCCAGCACCACCTAAGAGACCCTGGTTTTGGATGATTGCCCTGTAAATACCAACAACCAATGGTTTCAACCATGGTTTCGCAACCATGCACAGTATCATGGTCCCTCGGGGAGCTCGTTGCCCCATAGACAAGCCGTGCCTTGCCCACCAAGGGCTCCGAGGGGTCCTCGTCGGCCCCATCCTGCGCCAGGATCGATCCGCATGCCGAGGGAACTATGGCGACCGCAGATCTGCAGATCTGCCCGTCACCGTGGCGAATAGCAGCCGGCGCGGCTTTGGTGGCATGTAGAGCAGTCTTTGGAATGCGGCTCCGCAAATTCAGGGAATGCAAGTGTCATGAGCCGATGTAATGCCGAGCTTCAACTTTGAATGAAGCGTGGAATTGGCTCACTGTGTCTCAAGGACATGGAGGGCTTCACAAACTTGGCCTCTGGGATCCAACAAGGATGCCTTTGAAAGTACGGCCGCCCTCAAACTGGCCCGTTGCTCCACAGCCAGGTGAGCCAGGAGCGAATGCCCGTGAGAAAGTATCCCAGAACATGAATATTTCTTGGATTCTAAGGAGTCTGCTGAAACGCTATTGCATTCCTCGCTCGCTCCTTTCTGGCAGTTCCATGCTCACCGGGCACAAAATGGCCACTGGGATCAAACCACCACCCATGGAATATGCCCAACGTTGCAAGCATACGTCATTGATTTGTGCTCATCGTGTTAAAAATGGGGCTCATGTATCAACATGTCTGGGGCTCGGGCAAGCAAACACAGTGCGTTTTGGCAAGGGTGTTCATGCTACGCTCCATTCAGCGCACTTTCCCGAACTACCACCCTCGGGCTAGAAGGTTTCCATGTACCCGTTGGTGAAGCTTGTTATTAGCAAGCTAAACAATTTGGCTAGACCAACCTGTGTTGTGAACAACTGGACTCTAGCTAGGTAGTACTGCTGCAGCAAGTTTGCCAGCAGACTCGTCATCAAGCTGACTTCCAAAGGGCTGATTTCTGCACATGCTGGGTTGGGCATCTCAGTTTACAATGCTAACATAAGGGGTATATAAGGGTTATACTGGACAAGTCGGGAGGGCTACCTCCCTGCATTCCGCTCCAATGGTTCCTGACTAAGTCCGCGCTTGCTTCCTAGACTTAGGCTCCAAGTACGCAAGCTGAAAGCCAGACACACACAAAAAAAAGCAAAGCTTTTCCCTTGTCTGATCCAACAATCTGCTATTTGGTATCACCATTTGAGGTCTTGACAGGAAGGTAATTGGGCGGCACATGACATTGCTTTCTACTTGGGGACAACATTGTTGGCAGATTTGCATACCTCTCTCGTCAAGCACGTTTCAAGGAAACCCGAGAATCTGACAATGACACTTCCGTCGCAGCGAGTCACTGTCGTACAACTTCCGCGCCATGAGTGAACAATGTCGCGGCACTCACCCGCTTGACATGTTGTTCATCAAAAGGAGGGGGTTGGACAAAAAACAGAAACAACAAAGCACATCGTAGGACACCCAGAAGTCGTTTTCTCCTTTGCTAGGGACACCAATGTCTGTTTCGCTTTTCCAAAGGAATTCCCATGGGGAAACTGGCTAGCCCAATTCTCCTTCTCCCAATTCTCCGGGCGATCGACTGGGAAAGCTGGAACTGGATAAGCAAGTGCCGGACCCCGGGCGACTTTTTCCATCTGCGACCCTCAAATCTGTGTTACCGATTTCTCGGATCGAATCAGAGGAAAATCAAGGGATCCAAACTGGAAGGTGGATTTGGATGTGTTACACACCTCCAAGGGCTATGGGGCTAATCTCTTACTGAGACCTTACACTTGATTAAGGGCGTTTTCTGGGCTCATCCCGGGCTCATTCATGGATAACCCCCCCCCCAATGGGAAGACCATGAACCCTGCCTCGGAGGGACTGGCATCCTCACCCTCAAAGGAATCGAAGGTCCTCCAATGCTCCCTTGGCACGCGGGCACATTGCCCGGATTGGTGGTTCAGGGGTTGTGTGATTTAGGGTGTCCTCCCACTGGGGGTCAATTCCCAACACCAATCGCCAAAGGGGAACCTCACAGCCCACCTCTGCTTGGCGACGAAAGGAACACACATGTAGCCATGTCCGGCCAATTTTTGCAATTTATAACGAAACAAAGATAGGCTGAAGGCTGGTAGGAAACGCAGTCAGGGGAGGTATTGCTCTTCCACGCAGCTGGACATCTTGCTGCTTAGATCCAGCCAGCTCGGAGGGCTGTTTAAAGAACATGTCTTGCCGGATCCTGCTCCTCCCAAAATTGTATCGCCTTCGTCCCTGGATTGGGTGAGCAGGTGTGGCATTCTTGCTAGTAAAACACAACGCACAGCGCACACACACACACACAGCAATGTGAGCCGACAACGCAAAAACAGAGCATGTGCAAACAAACACATGTCTCAAGAATACGTGTTCAAGCTCCATGGGGACTGATGAGAGCGTCTGGCGACATGCGGGACAAAACCACAGGGGCATTCTCAGGGTTTCTGACGCTGGCAACTGCGTCGAATTTGTCCGAACACTCGCTCAGCTCCGTCCACATGGCTATGAGTCAACATGAAACCGAGAAAAAGCCGCGGGTTTTTAGGCCATGGCGTCCATTTGATGGGGCAAACAAATTCTGGGCGTCGCTTGCCAACCACTTGACCCACGTAATAAAACCGGGTCGCCAACCGCTTTTGATCCAGTTCGCCGCTCTCTCAGGCTCTCTCTCCTGAACCCTAGCTGCGTTTTTTTTGAGTCAGGGCCATTGCATTCAGAACGCGTGCAACAACTTGCTTGAATCAACGACGATTTTTGTTTGGCAAATCTGACCGCTAGAAACGCACCAACTTGAGTTCCTTGAAGAAAGGCGAGGGTCCTGCCCACCAATGGATCGTCCCTCATCCAAGGTGCATTGGCGGACACTCATCCTGGCCGGGATCATCCAGAATCCATGCAGCTGGCGTGAATACCTAACATTAGTTTCACTAATGCAAATATACCCTGCCAACTAACGTGGAAGCCAGGGTCCCTTTCAGAGGAAGATGCGTTGCAAACCCCAGCAAGATTCATGTTGGTCCGTGTCAGGGCGTCACAAAACGTTGCCCGTGTTCGGATATCCATGAAATCACTAAATTCCAGGGCCATACGCATCGAAGAAATGTTGTCCGTTGCTCTAAGCGTCTCATGATAAGACTTCCGCTCAAAGGGCAGGAATCATCGATGGGCTTGATTGGCATTTGGTGGATTACTCATGTGCATGGGAACTAAGGGGAATGGGCATGATCCAGGTGTTATGAACAAGCCTCTGCTCATCTACAGATTTAGATGGAACTACCCACAAACACCACCATCAGGCGGACAGATTAACATGACATGAAATTACCCGCAAACACCCAGCAGTCAGGCGCACAAAACAACTCAAGCCGCGCCTCAGAGGCCTCTTCTTCGCGGACCTGCGGCGGTTTGTCCTGCTCCTGGCCAGCGGGCAAATGCCGTAAACCGGTGACCCCAAGGCGAGAACGAGCAGCGGCTCCACGTTCGAGCGAGCTGAAAGTTCCTTAAGCATGCTGAGGACGTAAAGGCACCCAGAGGAAGTTGTCAGGCATTGCTCGGCACAAGTACAAAACACCATGACCAGTAAGGCTGGTAACAGTGATACGGTTAATAAGGATATGAAGGAACACGTGCCTTGAATTCCTACTATTCTGCAAGCATTCGTGGCATTCGTCCCTCGCCTCACCCTTGACGTTGTCGAGCACAGCGGCCGGAGCAGAGTGAGAGCTCTGGTCGCGCCACGCGAGCCTGGCAGACACCCTACCGCCAATCACGGGAAGTGCACACAAATGACTTGCCTTCTGGGCAAGGGTTCTGTGCCTCCGCATGTTTGGTGAGGGGACTTCGAGGGCGCCAGACTATGAACTGCAAGTACCAGCGAAGGTATAGTTCTCATAGCATTCGTATGAGTAGTAGTAGTAGTAGTAGTAGCAGTAGCAGTAGCAGTAGCAGTAGCAGTAGCAGTAGCAGTAGCAGTAGTAGTAGTAGTAGTAGTAGGTGTAGTAGTAGCAGAAGTAGTTCTACTACTACTACTACTGCTACTACTACTACTACTACTACTACTGTAGTAGTGGTGTAGTAGTAGTAGTAGTAGTAGTAGTAGGAGTAGTAGAAGTAGTAGTAGAAGTTGTAGTGGTAGTAGTAGTAGTAGTAGTAGTAGTAGTAGTAGTAGTATTGGTAGTAGCAGTAGTAGTAGTGGTAGTAGTGTAGTGGTAGTAGTAGAAGTAGTAGTAGTAGTAGCAGTAGTAGTCGTAGTAGTCGTCTTAGTCGTAGTCTTAGTAGTAGTATAGTAGTAGTAGTAGTAGTAGTAGTAGTAGTAGTAGTAGTAGTAGTAGTAGTAGTAGTAGTAGTAGTAGTAGTAGTAGTATAGTAGAAGTAGTAGTCGTAGTAGTAGAAGTAGTAGTCGTAGAAGTAACGGTAGACATTGTAAAAACGGTACAAATGGTAGACATGTGACATGGTGGTAGTAGTAAAAGTAATACGGGTAGTAGCAGAAATAGTAGGAGTAGTAGTAGATGTAGTTGTAGTAGTAGTAGTTGTAGTAGTAGTAGTAGTAGTAGTAGTAGTAGTAGTAGTAGTAGTAGTAGTAGTAATGGTGGTAGTGGTAGGAGTAGTGTTAGTTGTTGTGCTAGTCGTAGTACTGGTGGAAGTAGTAGTCGTGGTAGTAATGGTAGAAATGGTACAAATGGTAGAAATTATAGAAATTGTAGAATGGTGGTAGTAGTAGTAGTAGTTGTTGTTGTGGTGGTGGTGGCGGCGGTGGTGCTTGAGCACCACTACCAACACACTGGGACACACTTTCCCAAAAACGACACAGGTTACTTGGCAGAAAAACTAATAGTTGCTCTGTGGTAGGTGGGCTCTGCTATTTCCCCAACAAGAATATATGACAGCCATGGGAGCAAGGAAATCCTCGGCATGGAACAGAACGCGTTTACAAGTCCATACCCTGGCGCCACACTAAAGTCATGACTTGCCTAAGGAATTCAGAGTGGCATGGCCACAGGAAAGCTGTGTCAAAGCTGGGAATCCTCGTGTAGCTTTGTGCAGTCGCCATATTGAACTTCCGCGTGAACGAGGACTGAAAAAGATAGGGTTTACTCCAACATGCTTGCGTTGTTCAAACATGGCCCACCAAGTACGCTCAACATAGTGATATACGTACTCGGTACCTGCCAGGTAGCAATGTACATTGACCAAACATACGGACATTGTCTTCCATTTGATGATGTTTCCTGAAAAGAACATATGTCCAGTAGTGATAGACTCCCTTTGAAGCCGACAAGGGAAATGTGCTTTTTGAAAAAGAAAAAGAAAAAGAAAAAGAAAAAGAAAAAAAAGAAAGAAAGAAAAAGACAAATAAAAAATAAAAAGAAAGTGGAAGTTGTGTGTGGGCCAACTCGTCGTTGGCATCTCTGGCGAGTTTCGCGGAGAAGTGCCCTCACCCGGCAGGCGCCTTTGTCTCCTGCCCACCTGCAGGAATGTGTTCACCACCTCCGGGTGCGGCCCGGGGTCTTGTTGAACGATAAGCTGGGCTAAGTAGTGCAGCGGATATGGGGAGAAGAATATTTTTTTGGAGCTAAGCCAAAAAGAGAGGCAAAACAAATGCCGTTTTCGGTGAATGGCTTCAAACACGAATAGATCAACAAGGCGAGTCGGATTTCTCGGTGCGCAAGTAGAACAACCCCCCCCCCCCCGTAGCTGCGCTGATATACCACTTTGGCTTACCAAGACTCTGGGTGTAAAATGCGGGGGGTCTGGCAAAAACTCAACATTGTCACTTGCCATCCAAGGCAGGGTTTTAGAACGTCGCATATGGGCCATTTAGCACCCAGGACTGTACCAACCGCCTGGACATCAGCCTTCAATGGGGTGCAAGGGCCCCAACAAGTATACAAGTAGAAGCTCTGAAAACAGTTTTCACACCTTTCCACCTGACAAAGCACAAGTGGTTGGATGCGACAAGAGGGCGTGCATCTGCAACCAGAGGGAGAGAGAGGGAGAGAGAGAGAGAGAGAGAGAGAGAGAGAGCGAGGGGGTTTAACACAAACACGCAGGAGTTCATTCAACTCCAACTCTGAAAGCCCGTCTTTTTAGCTCAGGTTCAACATATATAGTTGATGTGTACAATGCAAAGGGAACTTCAGAGCAGCACAACAACCATAACAAGCATGCTGCTCAAGTAACGCAATAATACATCGAGCTCATCCGACATCATGTTGAAAAGTCTCCAGCCGCAAGGACAGAACAGCCTCGTTCCGTCTACCCGTGTCACAGAACGTTCGTTGCCAGGGCACATGGATTTCCTCGTCCTCCTCATTGAATCTGACGCTGCGACTAGCCTGCAACAAGTGTGCATAAACAGCACCCGGAATGCTGTACTTGAAACAAGCGGGGCCCTGCGTACACAATGCATGCTGAACACAAGCGTGGCACGCGCACACACACGCACACACTTAAACCTTTACAGTGCGGTCAGCCGTGAGCTTCTGATATGTGCCGGGTGTTGCTGGAAATGCACCTTAAAAAGCCAGGGCACTTCCGAGTATCACTTTCTGGTTCACTTGTCGAAAACCAATTGCGCTGAATAGCTGCTGGTCTGGTGAGAAGCGGCCGCTCACCGTTCACTGGCCCGACGGGCCCAACTGGGGCCTGACGGGCCTGACGGGCCCAGCGCGCCTAACGGGCCCAACGGCAGGGGCTTGACGGGTTTGACTGGCCCTTCGGGCCTCGCGCGTGCAACGGGCTCAACCTAACAGGACAACGGGCATGACGGGCTCCACGCACTGGACGGGCTGTAACGGAAAGGTAGGTCGTTAGATAAATAGACAGATGTAGAACGATAGATCGATAGACGAGTGACAGAGATATTGGCTTCTATCAGGCTTGAACCTGTTTGCCGGTGTCGCTAGCATAACCAGAGCTCCCGTGTGAAGCGTCTCTTCAAGCGCCTCTTTTCCCCAAAAGAATCTCTGGCGAGATGGGTGCGGGAGCTTTCAACGGAGCTGCTGGTGGGATGTGGACTTCGAGTTTTGGCAGGCGGCCGTGCTGGTGGGATTTGGAGGGCATTGGCTTCCGGGATGGGAGCGTTCGTGGGCGTGAGCTCGAGAAAATTTTCTACTAGGCTAGTTGGACAGATCTTGCCCCGTTCCTGGCGTGGATTTCCCATGGGTGACTGCATCAAATAGCCTCCTCTTTTGTCAGCCTTCACAGGCCCGACGAGCTTCACGGGCTTGACGGGCTTGACGGGCCCAACGGGCCTGACAGGCCCGACGGGCCTGACGGGCCCGACGGGCCTCACGGGCCCGAACAGTGAGAGGACATTGGCCGATCTGCTTGCAAGCATTGAGCCACAAGTGTCCGGCCCCGAAATGGAACTCAGACGTTCGCTTGTCTGTCTTTGTGTGGTGAGGCATGGCGACACGTGTGTGTGTGTGTGTGTGTGTGTGTGTGTGTGTGTGTGTGTGTGTGTGGGTGTGGGTGTGGGTGTGGGTGTGGGTGTGGGTGTGGGTGTGGGTGTGGGTGTGGGAGGGTGTGTGTGTGCGTTCTGTTGTGCGTTGTTTGATGCATGTGGCGTGTGCTCCGCCATGTGCAGCGTGCGTGCGCGCCCGTGCATGCGTGCGTGCACGAAATCGCCTTTGTGCGCTGTCGGAGGCTGTGCAAAAAAGTCGCCCTAGTCTCTTCGTCATTGGTCACTTGTAGTGCTCTCAAGGAAGAAGAGGCATATGACAAAGGCTCCAAGCAAGGCTGTGAAGGGAAAGGGACTCAAGCGGTGTGCCTAAGATAGTATCCGATATTATTGGTTGGGTCACAAGGTCTATAGGTGAGTCTCTTCTCCCACATTCTAAGCTTGGGAAACAGAGATGAGGTGAGAAAAGAAATGCCATCCCTTTCCCCTCGTCCCTTGATCCCATCCCCATCTATCCCTCACGGTCTAATTCATAAAATAGGATGTGACAAAGGTGATGGGGATGAGTTTTTCCCTCCTCTTCCTTTCACTCCCATTCTCTTCATTTAGGAGCAAGACAAATAGGAAAGAGACTCATGACTCACTTCTCCATCTCTCATCTGATGGCATTTCTCGGGACTTCCTGATCTCATCAATGTTCAGGATCTTCTCGCAAAGAATGGAACATACTGGAACTTAAGGGTCTCAAGAATTTGGACCATGGCTCTCCTCTTCATTTGGTCCTCTTGGAAGTCTCGCCTCAAGTTCCACCATGAGGGAATGCTGCTTAGCTGGGGCCCGAAAATGGCTGCGTCGGCTGCGCCGCGGGGAGTGATATCAAAGAAGGTCCAGTACAAGTCGGCCGTGACATAATAATCCTAACTTCTCAAGACTGATGCACTTTGCTTTTACATGCAACATACTTCTGCGAGAGATACAAGGCAAAGCCCAACAACCTTATCAAGCAATCCGGACCAGCTCGCAGCATGTTACCGCTATTGCTTGTTATAAACAAATGCAGGAATGCTCCCAATGCACCCCTCAGCAGCCATGCCGGAGCATTTGGGCCTCTCCAACACGACTGTCACAAAGCAAAACAAAGCATGGTGTTTGATTTCCCTGTTGGTTTTAAAACGAATCTATCACTACTGAACATACTTTTGTTTTTTTCCACTGGACTTGAGCAAAAAGAAGAAGCATTCCTATTCTCACTATGCGCTCCAGCGCCATTCTTTGCCTACCAGCCACTGGCAAACTCATCACATACCTGTCAACACGACAACGCCTGACTGTCCGAGATGCTGAGTGTGCAGGCGCAGTGCAAGCAGAACAAGCTGCTCTGCAGTTGAGATAGATTCATGTTTCCTGGCTGGTTTGGCAATACATCAGCAATGAACAATACTTGTTGGCAGCTGGACAAGTCACTTCCTGCTTCGACTCAGGGCAACATGGACACATATAGTCAAGTATCTAGATTTCAAAAACCAGACAGTGCTGGCACCCTTTGCAAATGTCATGATGTGAGATCCGAGTGTGTGTGCGTGTGTGTGTCTGTGCGAGTTCGGTCAATCAACTAGCGATTGGCCCATGTTGTTGATTGGGCAATACTAGCCGGAATCAGTCATTGCCCCAAAAACCATGGGCGACTAACCGCCAGAGCCAACCATAACTCACTATAGCGAAACAGTGTACACAACTCAAGTGCTACACTAACAATCTGAAGCACACTCAGCATGCCCAAGCCTACCACTATCAACATGTTTTAGCAAACTCACCAGCACTAGCATGATCCATAACCACGACTCGCGGTTGCCCAACCACAGCATCAAACCGGCCAAAACTCTTCTGCAAATATACGGACATTAGCAGTGGACACTAACGGGACACTAACGAAACAAATCACGTCTTGCGTCCTTCTTAGAGCAAGTGGCCAAGTGGCTGTGGTTCAAAAACATGTACCCCAAATGGCCCCTAGGGAACTGGAAACCAAGACCAAAACCTGCGGGCATCCCTGGCTGTTAAATGGCCAGTCAAAATCCCGTACCCCCAGTGAACATCCCAATCCCCACTAAAACGGGTCCTAACACTGGCGAATTCGCCAATCCCAACCAAACTGGGATCCCGCTTGACGGCTTTGACCGCCAAATTTTGTTGCCACAAAGAGAAGCATCGGGTGCCCCATCCGAAACCTGCGGGCTCAGGTGCCCGCCAGGCTGCCGAGGCTCAACAGCTCAGCCTTGAAGCTCTGGTACTCGGGGTCCTGGGATAAAAAAAAACACGTCAACCCCTACATGTGTAAATGCATACAATGCCTATATATATACATACATACATACATACATACATATATTAATGTATATATATAAAGAACATATGTATACATGTTGTAACTCATGTATGGTGCATGTAGATTACGTATATGTACGATGTCTATGTGTATGTGTGTGTGTGAGTGTGTTCCTGGGTAGTGGTATGTAGGTGTACGCGTGTGTTTTGTGCGTAATGTTCGCAATACATGTATTATATATATATATATATATATGTATGAGTAGTATACGGATACTGCTAAGTATATGAAAGTGCATGTGTATATAAACATGTGCTTGCGCAACATGTTTATTTGAGCCAGCTTCAGCATTTGCAGCGTGCCGTGGCCTTTGGCTATGTCAGCGTTTTCTTGAGTCCCCGTCTGTAGATACCAACAAACAGCGGTTTCAACCATGGCTTCAAATTCAAAGTGCGAGATGGATCTGTTGCCACCATGCACAGTATGTCGAACACGACGAAGGGATCGTGTAGGCGGGGATGTATGTCCACCAATCATATTCAGGGGGTTTCAACCATTAAAATTCATAGCCACGAACACATTCTCACTTCCCGACTGGATGGCCCAACAAAAAGTAACCAAACTCTTCATTTACCACCAACATGTTCCGAGCCAAGAAAGTGACTCAAACAAAATCCTGTTCATTTACCACCAACATGTTCCAAGAACCAAACTGTTCATTTACCACCAACATGCTCCAAGAACCAAACTGTTCATTTACCACCAACATGTTCCGAGCCAAGAAAGTGACTCAAACAAAGTCCAAACTGTTCATTTACCACCAACATGTTCCAAGAACCAAACTGTTCATTTACCACCAACATGTTCCAAGCCAAGAAAGTGACTCAAACAAAGTCCAAACTGTTCATTTACCACCAACATGTTCCAAGAACCAAACTGTTCATTTACCACCAATATGTTCCAAGCCAAGAAAGTGACGCAAACAACGTCCAAACTGTTCATTTACCACCAACATGTTCCAAGAACCAACTGTTCATTTACCACCAATATGTTCCAAGCCAAGAAAGTGACTCAAACAAAATCCAAACTGTTCATTTACCACCAACATGTTCCAAGAAAGAACCAAACTGTTCATTTACCACCAAAATGATCCGAGCCCGAAACGTGACTCAAACAAAGTCCAAACTGTTCATTTACCACCAACATGTTCCAAGAACCAACTGTTCATTTACCACCAATATGTTCCAAGCCAAGAAAGTGACTCAAACAAAATCCAAACTGTTCATTTACCACCAACATGATCCAAGAAAGAACCAAACTGTTCATTTACCACCAAAATGATCCGAGCCCGAAACGTGACTCAAACAAAGTCCAAACTGTTCATTTACCACCAACATGTTCCAAGAACCAACTGTTCATTTACCACCAATATGTTCCAAGCCAAGAAAGTGACTCAAACAAAATCCAAACTGTTCATTTACCACCAACATGATCCAAGAAAGAACCAAACTGTTCATTTACCACCAAAATGATCCGAGCCCGAAACGTGACTCAAGCCCAACTCGGGGGGCGAAGCACAGAGATGGCACCGCTCCTCCTTGGGGTAGGCGGCCGCCAGGCGCGGCTCCGCGAGACACGCGCGCCGCGCATCGGCCCAGCAGATGAAGCCGCACCTCGAAATCTTCGTGATTTGGCGCCCGCCCCCCGCCCGGTTTTGGGGTCTCAGTTGCCCCGTGACTGAACCAAGAGAGAAAAGCTGGTCTAGTTACCATGGAGTCTTTGTAGAGGGGCGAAGATGCACTATGTTCGTTGGGAGGCTAACCGGGAGGGTGCCCTGTGGTTTGGTGCCCCGTTTTGGTGAACCCCAACGGAGCAGCACCATGTCCTGAAGCTCTCCGAAGTGGGCTGCGTGCTCTATTGAAGGAACGTCCTCAAACTCGCAACATCTTGGGCTTTCAGAGTCTTCCCGAGCCCCCAAAAGTGCATTAAAAAACCCCTCACACTGTGCCCCCTCCAAAGACTCCGAGAAAAAAGCAGGAGCAACACATGGTGGGATTCCTGTATTTCCCCCACCCAACCTCAAAAACGGTACCCTCCAAGAACCACACACATACACACCTAGAAAACGGTTTGGACGCGCTTTTTGTGGATTTCACCTGTTTTTCCCCCTGCTTCTTTTGCTTGGTTGCTGTTGACCCCCCTGCAAAAAGTTTACCTTTTTGGGGGTTTGGTGGAAAACACCTTTACTTTAAAAGTTAAAGTCCAAAGATCCAACCCAATAGCAATCAAGTTTGTAGCACTCTTTCAATTAGTATTATTTTAATATCCGGGCTAGATCCACAGATTCGCCACATCCACGCCCGTTTCGAGAACCGCCCAGACGTGGAGGCAACTCCGCCCTTCCAAGGTTGGCCAAAAGATCCGCCAAGGCTACGCTGGTGCTGTCGAACAATTCCTCAACCCACCTAACCCTAAAAACAAGAAGAACAAAAAACACAAAATCCCTACACCTAAAAAAAAAACGGCGCCCTCCAAAAAACCACACAGATACCACCCCACTTAACCAACCAACTCCCACTTGGCGGCTTAGCCGCGGCCGCTTGGCCCGGCCGGGCCGCGCCTCTGCTGCCGCCACCAAACTTCGAAGCCCCGCGCCGCGGCCGCCGCGGCGCGGCCGGAGGCGTCAAGCGCGTCCATGGCCCACAGCGCCGTGGAGGCGTCCCGGGCGAGGCCTGGCGTTGGGCCGGGCGCGCGCGGCGGTTTGGGCGGCGGTTTGGGCGGGGCTTAACAAAAAAAAAAGTCGGGCGCCGTTCGTTTTTGTTGGGTCCTAGGCGTGGTGTGCCCGAACTTTTTTTGGAGGGGACCCCCCTTTTTGGTTGGTTTTAAAGGGAAACCACAAGGACTCTCCGAGGCGTGCTAGCAAAATCTACAGCGGTAAGCTCGATGTGTTGACATGCTGGACTTGAGGGTCCCATGCAAACAACCCTGTAATGCTGATAGGAGCTTGGGGGGGGGGGTACTGTGGCACATGTACCATATACCCTCAAGGGTTCGCGAAAGCGCTCTGTATGTACTTGGAAATTGCTTGCACCTCAGTCCTCAAAACAATGGCCTGGAAAGCAGAGTCAAGGTCGAGTTCAACCATATCTTGGTTCCTACTAGCGGGAACTTGGCAAGTGACAGAATTTGCTTGTAATTTAGCATGGGCCACTTGCCGTGTCTCCCATGTCATCTCTTCAGCAACAGTGGATGACGACAACAAGCTGACGTTGGCCATGCCTGAAGGTCAGCCCGGCAGGAACGGCTATTAGAATAGCAAGCCGATATCACCATAATAAACACACTCACAAAATACAATGCCGGCAAGCAGTGTGGTGGGGGGTCCCCCCCGCAAGCAAACCTGATCAGTTTGGAGAATTCTCAAGCGAAAGTTCAGTTCCAGGTGCTTTCCCACAGTTTTCATTTCATAAAGTCATCATGCAGTGACTTACCTCTGCTTGGTTTTATTAGGAACGGTTCCGTCTTAAGAAAGAAGACATGTTCGCTGCACGATGCCCCCCGAATGCATCCATCAACATTTGGCTCAGTATGAGAGTCCAAAGTATGACGGCGATCGGGGCAACAAGAGTTTACTTCCGTGCCATCAACCATCACCAACCATTCGTGAGGATACTCCATTTGAACCATGGTAACTATTTGCTGGCTTGTTAAAATGGTGGACCTGTTTTGGGTAGCTTGAAGGAAAACAGCAAGGAACCAACCCGTATTTATGGGCTCGGCATTCAGTAGGAGTCCTTAAAATGGTTGGTTTCCTCTTGTTGTTTTCCTTTAAATGCCGGCCGACAGGGTGTCCACCATTCTCACAAACCAGAAATAAGGAATCCCAAAACCGGGGACCTTTATCATGCATGAGCTTGTTTGAACCTCAGGTGAGCTCCATTTTGAGCCCCCATGCAAAAACAGAAACTGCTTCCCCAAAAAGTCCAAACCTCTTGTTTTCTACTCAAGTAGTCCAAACCCAAAAAGTGACGAAAGTCCATAAACTGGTCCAAGCCCCAAAAAGTGCCCAAAGTCCATGACCTCAGGAAGTGACCCTACCGCAAAGCAACCGCTTCCAAGTAAACCGTGTGCCTGGCGCTGCCAAGTCTGGCCGCGCCGATGCGAGCTCCAGCACCAGCTTCCGGGGCAAGGCCGACAGATCCATCGCCACGTCCTGTCGAAATCGCGCGCTTCCACGGCAGACGCTGGGCAAACAACCTGACGTGCTGGTCCAAACCTGGGTTGCACCGATCTTCTATTCACAGCAAACTTTTGGTCCGAGGGTTTCTCCCTTTCGTTTCCGGGGATGGTTGCAAGCAACCCAGTGTTCAGAATCGGCCTTTCGCGAATAACATGATTCCTCGCGTCCCTTTCGCGAAGCCTTCGCGGCCCTGTGATGCCCTGTGTTTTCCTTTCGCACAGCAACTTGCACGACAACACCTTTACTAGCTTCTTTTATCGGAGTGTTGAACTCTGCTCACATGGCAAACTGCCAAAAATGAGCACCCTTTTTGTTGATGGTTTATGTGGAGCCCGCCTTTAAAAGGAGTCCACAAGGGGTCCACCCACCACATGGTGTCGTTTTGCTCTGTAATGTTTAAAGCAAACAAACTTTGTTTGTTTGAACAAACCATGTGGGTGGTAGTTGTTCACTGATGGGTTGAGGTGCTGCTTTTCATGGCTTCTTCCCAAGACCCCTTTGAAAGACTTGGCTCCGGAGGCCTTCTGGGAGCTTCCGGCTAGTCGGGAGTGTAGCCAGCGCTGGCGAAAAAACTCCGCGCCTCCCCGCAACAGGCCAATTCCACGAGGTAGGCCGGGTGAACCGGGTCAACCGCCTGGCACGAGGGCATTCTGGTCAGAATCATACTGTGGATGGACGAAATCCACTTCGCACCACTTTGAAACCATGCTTGAAACCCTTGTTTGTGGGTATTTACAGGGGAATCATCCTTCCAGGATGTCTGAGGTGGTGCAGGATTTCGTCCATCCACAGTAGAAGTTGAGGACTCGGAGTCTGGCGAAGATGAGCACGGGAGGAGTGAGTGCCAGCACGACCGGAAGCTGCCATAAAGTTCACAGCAGGTCCAAGCTGGTAAATCCTCGCCTGTCCCAGGCCAAAACAAGCGTTGCAGCTTCACGATGCGTCGTTTTGAGAAGCGTGTGACATGCATAAGCCCTCGAGTCCCTTGACCCGAGCAAACCGGCATGGCACGCGTTCCACGAAATGAGCTCATTGCCAAGCCAACGTTCTTATGTGCTTTCCTCCTAAGTCCCCAACCGACCAACTCCCTCAGCACCGACCTCGTGTTCCTTCTTCAATGCCTTACACGTTGCACCGGCTTGGCTTCGCCGTGTACCCCGGCAGTTGAACATGTATTGAAGACATGCTGGCCCAGCCTAGTATAATAAAGTTGCGCCGCTTCAGAAACAAGCACTGCCCAGGCAAACGGACTTTAGGTGGTAGCGCATCTCGAAGGATACTTGCAATCATGCATGGCCGGGTATGCTTAAAGCTTAAGAACCCCAAATCAAACTATTGGCCTGTATATGTTGCAGTACATTTGAGTAGAATTGCCCCTGGTTATTACTCAAGTAAGCACACGGCTGCGACTGTTCAATGCTTACTGACTAGACTACGCAATTTTCGAGGTTGACGCCGAACCAATATACGAGCCAACACCAGCCTTCTCTTGACTTGCATTCCTACAAAAGAGGCATGGGGTACCCTTTGTGGATGGTTTTCAAGAAATGCCACAAGGAAACAGCTCGAAACACCCTGAGATCTGCTGTCGAAAGCTCGATCCTCCCTTGCCACTTGCCTGCCAGCCTGCCTCGGGCTTGGGCAACATCTGGGCAGCGCGCCTCAGGACTCACATGCGCGTTTCGCTGCTTTCGCGGAGTGCGAGGAAACCGAGGCAGCGTTTTGCGCAAAAAGAAAAAGAGGTCCGACCACCCGCCTGGCTCGATAGAAACCATAGATAGTTGGTTGGATTGGCCGGGATGCATACTTGGTCGCCGCGACTGGCTCTGGAAACCAGTGCCCAACATCGGTGCTGTGCTACCGCAGACAAAGTGTGGCTCATCGTGATATCGGTTTAAGGTGTTTGGTTGGGCTTGGCATAGGTGCCCGGTTGCAGCCGCCCCAGCAGCGAGGGTTTTGGGTGGTCAGGCCCTTTTTGGTGTTGACTTTGGGCTTGACTTTGGCATGATGAATGCCCCCCTTCTGGTCCATATATGGGTGTGGCTCAAAATTAAACAGGAGGGGTTACGCAGGTTTTGGTCCATGATTCCACTTACCAGGCTTCAATTTTGGTATTCCGGTTTTTTGAGCCACAGCCATATAGATGCCTCTAAAGGTACCCTCATGTCCATCGCTCGAAACAGAGCCGTTCCCTTCTGAGCATCGTGCGCCGCCAGGTGTGGAAGCACCAGCCGCAGCTGCCGCAGGAGACCTGCAGACCTGACGTGGATTCGTCCCTCAGTATGTGGTCCATTTACTTGTGTGCGTCTTTTTGGGGGGGGTCATAGGGTTGGCGCATGATATCCCCTCCACCTTGAGAAAGGTCCCCGAACCACTTCTTCCTCTTCCCAGCAAACGGCAAAATGCGATTATATATGAATTCCAAACGTCGCCCCTTCCCTCGACATCCATTTTAAGGGGTGCGGATGAGCTGACCTTGTGGGGAGATGCAAAAGGGGTCGTCTAGCAGTGCAAGCCCAAGTGCAGGCGTGAAACAGGGGCTGGATCAGACCTACAAGACTCGATCATGCGTGCAACAGCAAGTTGGCTGCATGCTTGGTGCTGAGCTTGCACGCAGCTTGCGCGAGCAAGGCAACAGCACTGCCGGTCCAGGCACTGCATTTACCAATCACCAATTATGATGACAAGCCGATTGCTCCACCAAGGTTACTGGACTTTGCTTTTGGTACAGGTCAAGTCACTAGTGGGACCCTTGTGGTGGACCCTTACCGCGGGTCCTGTGAGCTGTGCAACGCCGACCCCCAACCCCGCCACAAGTTGGGGTGACAGCCAATTGAGCTATATGGCAGTGTAAAAATTGCGAAAATAGGGGGTCCCCCCCCAAAAAAAGCGGGGCTTTCCTTTTGGTTACGCTACCCGCAACACCCACCTTGCGTGTCTATTGGGAACACGTCGCCAACCCCCGTACCGATCCCCGGCAGCCGCCAAGCCTTTCATAAAATTTGTCCTGCGCGGGGCAAGCACCAAAGCACAGACGAGACGCATGTGACTCCGGCCCCGAAACATGGAAATGGGTGCTTTTCCATAGGCTTCCCTGGACTTTAGGCACACTCCTAAGGTAACAAGTCACAAAGGCTCCAAAGCACTCGCGAGCGGTCCGCCCCCTACTTGGTTTTGATGGGTGGGAACTGGGTCGCAAAGTGTCGCCCCTGAAAGCAGAAACATCGATCCGCTAGCCCAACAGTGTGATGTTGGTTCGGATGGGTTGGATTTCAAATGATTTAGAAAAGACAACATGCATTTGAGGTATCCATAAATTCAAATGACATTATCATAGAGCTGATGCACATGTTGCCCCAAGGTCCTCCATCACGAAGCTTCCGGGCCCATCAAGCCATGCCTCTATGATCCGCTCGAGCTGGGCGGCACACTTCCTGGGGAGTTGCTCTTTAAATCACAGAAACCAATGGCAGGTCTACAGGAAATTGCACACATACCTTAAAAACCGCGAATTTCCTGGAGAATATCCTGTAGCTGGCTTCTTAGATTGGACACTGTGCAAAGGCAACATATTGGTGGCTCCTTTGTTGCCCTAAGGCAGACAGCGGGGTTGCCGCATCGCAGGAGGAGTGCTCGCTTCGAACCAACTAAAGATTGAAACGAGCGGCCGCACCAACCTAATCTTCAGGCCAGGTTTGGATTGTGACTTAGTAGACCGCCAAATGCTGAAGTCTTTTTTTTTCAGTCAATGTCCAAATAAGGTCTTGACGCCCTGGCTGTCACGTGCAAATGCAAACTCTCTGCCTCCCCTCTCACCTGTTAGGCGAGTGGTGCTATACAGCGTACTTCGGGAACAGTGGAAGGGGAGTCATAACAAGCCCAACACATCGATGAGCTGCAGCAGCTTTTTCTTCCTTTCTTTTTTGCAAAATGGTGGAATCGTCGGGCTGGAACCCAACACCCGACTCATTATGACTCGTTGACCTTGTTTTTTTCAACGCTGCATGTGATATCTTAAGCACCTAATATGTCGTGGCCCTACCTCGTTTTGAGGGCTGCCTTTTGGCACATCCTGAATATTTGTTGGAACAACAAACTTTGCTGGAACATTCAAAATGTAAGTTCATTTGGCTCCGCACCGGAGGTTGAACCTGCCCAACCTGGCCAAGACTGACCTGCAAATGGCTGGCCAGACATGTGGGCCTTCACTCGCCCAATGATAAAACGCTTGGTGCCACAAGTTTCATTCGCCCAACTCAACCGTTGTGAATCAAGAAGTGGATTGTCTGGTTTCTTTCGTGTGCGCGAGTCCAGTGCAGGAGGCAAGCACCCTTCAACCATCTCCCCCGGCACTTGGCCATCAGAGGCGCCACTTCGGCGCCAGCAGCTGCTCCAACTTCAGCCACTCCGCGCCCCGCAGCTCCTCCGCAGCGCGTTGCGACCACCAGGCCTCCGTCCAAGTCTCACCACCCGCCGCCGCCTCAGACGCTGGGCGCTCAGGCGCTCAGGCGCAAGGGAGTTGCGGGTACTTCGCAGGAAGAAACTGGCGCCTAGTTTCATCCTGTATCTTGGCAGAATCTCAAGGTTCCTCAATTAGCTTGTTGTGATTATGATAGTTTGCATCAATGTTTAGGTTCCCCAATTTGCTTGCTGTCATGGGATAGCGTTGCGTCTGCAATGGTTGCAGCTTCTTGAGATGCCACCTGGATCTGTCATGGTCGGGGTGTGGTGCGGAGGGCGCAATTGGCCGGCAGGTGGAACTTCCAGCCATTTGAGAATCGACCTCTCAAGCATACAAACATATGGCTATGGGTCAAAATCCAAATCGTACCCCCAGAGAACATCCCAATTCCCACTAAAATAGACTAAAATGGGTGGTGCACCTACCCCAAAATGGTACCATTGGTTTTGACCAACAGCCATATTAAAACACAATCTACAACAATCCACCATGCTTCGCTAGGATCACCGCATCAAAACTGGACCCCCAAAATGGCGGATGTCCCTTATGTTCCCCAAGTCTGCAATTGATATAGGGTAAAATCAGAGAGCCAGAACAAACAAACAACACATTAATTAGTGGCTTCCCCAAGATTTTAAGCGACACCCTCACGAAACCCGCTTCCAAAAACCCGACCTGTCCGGGTTTGATGTGTCCGACCCGAGCGGCGAGCGACCCGAGCGCGCCTGCACCACCTCCGGCAGCAGCGCAACGCACTGCAGCCGCGGCATCAGGGCGCGCAGGAGGCGGCTGTTGCCCACGCGGAGGGCCAGCTGCGCCGCCACCAAATGCCACTCCTCCCACAGCTTTTTCCAAAAGGCGGCTCTGGGTCCGAAAAGTGACATAAACCAACACAAAGTCTTCCATTTGCTTAAGTCCAATGGAACAAAAAAAACATACCTTCCAGTGATTGGTTCCCTTTAGAACCAACAGGGGAAAATAGAACCTCTTCATTTCAGCAAATGGAAGAAGTCCCCTCCAAAATGCGACTTCAGATGAGCGCATGGCTCCGGCTTGGGTTTTCCGCATGTTTCGCCTCCGGCAGATCTGCTTGCGGCAACAAGTGCGGGGGCTGCCGGAGGATCAAATGCCGCAGGAGCTGAGCGCCACATTTGTCCCCTCGCAGCTGCTCCTACACAGAAAGTCGACACGGCTGCGACCCACATGCCCAGCCCAGGTAGCAAATTGGGAGTTTCCGTGTTTTCCGAGTTCTCGCCATTCTTGAGTGAGGAATCTACTCAACAAAAAGGAAAAATTGGGCGCAACTGGGGAATGGGACTACTTTTCAGATCCTATGACTATGTGGAAGTGGTGGACACTATGGCGCTCACCTCTCTGGGCATTGCTTTTTGAGGTTACAACAGAGTGACGCTGTCTGGAAGGAACCTTGGCCCATGGGGTACTCCATTTGTTTGTCGATTCTCTTGTTGATGTTTGGTCCATCCTAAACTACAGTACTGTGGATGGACCAAATCCACTTCGCACCACTTTGAAACCATGGGAAAGCAGTGCTTGTTGGCATTTACAGGGGACTCATTCCAGGGTTTCTTAGGTGGTGCAGGATTTCGTCCATCCACAGTATCAAATAGTTTTGGAGTCCTCAGGAACCATAATCATCAAGGTCGCGAACCAGACCCAAGGCGTGTATCCCATTTTGGGTGTGGATTTTTGGGGGCACTCCTTGGGGAATCAAAATTCGGTGGGCATTCATGCCCATGAGTTCGGTGGTTCCCTATTGAAACGTGTCCTAGCCATTTGGGTGAGTGCCCAGCAAATAGGGATTTGGAACCCCCCACAACGTGAAATGGCACCCTCAACAACCAAAAACTACCACAATGATTGTTTTCCTGTCGATTTCCCTTTAAAGCCACAAAACAATGATTGTTTTATATTGTTTTCCTGTTGATTTCCCTTGAAGGCCACAAAACAACATGTACCCAGAAGAACAAACAAAAAAGCAGACCCCGCCATTTCTTCTAAAAGTGGCCCAGGCGCCAGGATGTTGGACGCCGCCTTCGCCTCCGCCAAGCGCTTCGAGAGGAGGAAGGGTTTCAGCAGCTCCGTGACCTGCGGGTTGGCGCCAAGCGATGGCTGACAGAGATGCAGGGAATGAGAAAATGGAATGAAAGAAGGAACCCAGCGCTTCCAGGTGCTCATCTAACTGGCACTTTGCTCGTTAAACCAGCGCTTTGTTAAGAGGCTGGATTTCAACACCGTGAAAGGTGCGTGAGAAACCCGTGAAGACCGTGAACACCTCGTGAAAACAGCGTGAACAGACACCCTTCGTTTACTCATGCTAGGGCTCCCAGTAAAGACAGCACTATTATCAAACGTGCTTGTTTAACTTGTCCTTTGGACTTGCTGGGGAAGGTGAGAGAATGTAGGATGAGGAGATGAGAGCTCTTTCATATCTATTTCCCATCTCCCTAGAAGAGCCATCCCTTAAATTATTTAATTGGTGGTTTCCTTTAAGGGAATCCCCGGGTTCATTGCCTCATTCGCTGAGCACCAGCACACAAGCCCTCCCACTCACTAACATGGAACCTCACGTTTGGGGGGTCGTGGAAGACCATTTTCCTCTTTTAAAGGGACCCCGTGACAGGTTCCATGTTGATTGGTGGGAGGGGAACAACAAACAACACTCAAACCCCAACACGAGGCAAGACCTTGGAACATCAGGAAGCTGACAGACAAAAAGGAAGGAAGGCAATTGAGGAACAGGTAGGACAACAGCTTGCTTGTCCCCCACATTTTGCCCAGCATACACACATACACAAACGAGGACATGGGTGTCCTCTGTAGAGCCCAAGTGAAAGGGTGTTTTGACAAGCCCGTACTGTGGATGGACGAAAACCTGCAACACCTAAGAAACCCGGGAATGCTTCGATTCCCCTGAAAATACTGGTTCATTCTTTGGCAGAAAGGCGGCATTTCTGCACCCAGCCCGCGTCGCCTGCGGTGAGTCGGGGCAGCTGCTGGGCTGCGCATGCAGCAAGGCGCCGGCAGAGAGCACGTCGTGCTGCAGCAGCTGAGGCCAAAGGCTCCTCTGCCAGTGGAACATTTGGTCGAAATCAGCTGGAAAACCAAAGAACAACCACCTTCACGGAAACTACGGGAGGGATACATGAAATCTACCAGAAAATGGCATGAACCACCTACAAGTAGCACTGGCTCCGGATTTGCTCCATCCATAGGGTACAAATCAGGGTCGCTCCAAAAACCAGGGGTTGAAAACGAAACTGAAGGAACCAAGACATCTTCCGAAACTCGAGGTTTGGTCTGGAAGTTCGCCCGCCTGGCGTCCAACATCTCCAGCACTTCCGGCGGCAGCGTCTCCCCTCGCAGCAGTTGCTGCTCCGCCTGAGCACAATTCGGAGCCTAGTGAAACGGGGCCCGGGCCTCCAAGTTGGGGTTTCTCAAATCCTCATAGCTGCATGATATCAATATCTAGATGTGTTGGGGTTGAGAAATATTCCCTGGGCCCCCAAGTGACCATCAACTTCCACCCTTTTAGTGGGAAATATCACCTTGTGGATTCCATGTAAAGGACCTTTTTGACCAACCCATACATATATATATATATACACACTAAATATGTCACTTATCTATACGTGCAGCACGCAAGTTGTTTTTGTCTACATCCAAAAGGTTTGCCCTGTCATTTTCTCATCCTTGACCTCCCCAACTTGAGCGTATCCCCCATACGACGAAGCCCCCGCTCCTGTTGCAGCAAGTCGTGGGGCGGGTTCACAGCCAGGCGCAAACGAAAAGCCACCGGCAACGACTCCTGCGATGTCAAGTTGGATTCCTATAAAACTGAGGGTTTTTGTATTACACCCTGGGATTACACCCTTGGGAAATGACCCAGAATGGTTCAACATGACACGGGGTCAATACCCAGAATCAAACCCCAAAGGATGCTCCAAAATCCAAGGGGGGGAATCATGCATGTTTTTGAACCCCCATTCTCAATTAGTGGTGGGGTTACTTCAATGGTTTCCCTTAAACAAACAAATACATACACTGAAGTATATTTCGCCTTGAAAACTTTTCAAGTCCCACACACACAAAGAAAACTAATTTTGAATTGGCAACCAGAAGGAGATGGTTAAACACCACCCACCAACTGGAGAATGTAAGACAGCTTGCTTCTCTGATTGCTGTCTTGTGGACAGTTTGCATCCTCCGAAGGCTTGGTTTTTGCGAAAGAAAAGTCACCGGCAGAAAAACATCCCCTTTTGGTTTCCCTTTGCACACATTTGGCATGGGCAATTTAGCGCCCGCCCACCCACCCACCCGCCCGCCCGCCTGCCCGCCCACCCACTCCTCTCTGGCCAAGTCCGCAGCAAAGCTCCCGAATGAGCCGCGCTCCTTGAACGCTCGCAGCGCGACTTCTTGGCAAGGCGCCTGGCCGGGCGCGATCCTATCCCAGACTTCTCTTGGCTCCCTTTATGCAAAACGTCTGAGGGACCAAGCTTGGAGAATGTTCCCGAAACCATATTCAACCCTAAACCTTGGGATCTACCTGACTTGAGTAACTTTTTTTATGTGGCAAAAACAATCAGGAAGATGGCCCAAGCGTAGCGAAAAGGGCCCCTTAACCTTCCCTCTTAACCAAAGCCAAAATCATCCCAAGGCAGTGCGGATAGTCACCCTGTATACCTCGCATGGGGGAAATCCCAACAGTCGACTTGCCGCCCACAGGTGTACCTCAACCTGGTTCTGCACATGAGTCTTTTGTTTTACGCACTTGCCCAAAGGACCTGGAATTAAAAGGTTAATCTGTTGGGACCTTTACCAAAAATGGACCAAATCAAGGAAACCTACAGGTTAAAAGGTCGATTCGCTTTGGGCAAGTGAGTTTGAGGGTCCTCATTGCATGTCAGTTGAGCGCCGGCTTCCCACAGCTCTTGCCCTTTGGTTTTGAAAGCCGAGCCTTAATGGTCAGATGTCACGGACCTCACAACTCTGGTCAAAAGAGTTTCTGCGCAACGCCGTCACACCTTCCTTTCAAGTTGCAACAGCCCAACAAGTCACAGACACACACCAAACAAAAAAACTGCAGTGACCCTGGTCTCCAAAAAAAACACTGCCACAAAAAAGAAAAAAGCTGCCACAGTGACCCTGGTCTCCAAACAAAAAACAAACAACAAAAACTGCCACACCAAAAAGAAGAAGAAGCAACAACTGCCATACCCCCCCCAAAAAAAAAAGCTGCTAGAAAGCAGTTTTAGGAGACCCCGTGGCGCCGTTGGTCCAGCTTCTGGGAACCGAGGAACCCGTCAGCGTGTCAAGCGACAGCCTGTCTGGTCTTTTCGGGCGGAAACCAAAGCCAAAAGGGGCAAAAGGGGCAAAAGGCACCCAATTTTTGAAGCCTTCAGCTCGAAAAAACACCGCTGGGATTGGATAAGGGTGATCAACTGACGCTGGGATTGTTGCTAAAAAGGGTGATACACTGACCAACTGGTCAATCGAATTTTGGAGTGTCTGTTTCTTTTACACTTCCTGAGTGGATGGCCCAAAAAAAGTGCAAACTGTTTGTTTACCACTAAAGTGTTTTAAGCCCAAAAAAGTATTTAAAGCCCATGAACTGAGGGAGTGAGTCACTCCAGCCGCAGGAACACGGGGCAATCCCCCAGCCAAAGGCTTCGCCTGGGCACAGCAGGCCAGCAGCACCGCAGGCCACTCCTCCCTCGAGAGAGCCGGCGCCGCCTCGACCAACAAAAAACAACAACTAGATCCTCCAGTAGAGAGGTTAGAATCAAGGTGCTTGTTTTTTTTTTTTTTTTTCCGGTAGTCTGTTGTAGTAGGGGAAGCCTGCCCCTACTAAAGGGTAAAAAAGGGCACTACTGGGGGACCTAGTCAAAAAAACCCATCGGCTCCTAGCTCAGAATCACTGGCACATTGACATGGCTATGTGGCTGTGGGTCAATCGCAATGGTACCATTTTGGGGTAGGTGCACCACCCATTTTAGTCTATTCTAGTGGGGATTGGGATGTTCACTGGGGGTACGATTTGGATTTTGGGCCTTTGACCCACGGCCATGTGTCACAAGTGTCCTCTTGCCTTTTTTGGTTGTTCTTTTTTATAGGGGCCAGCAATGGATGCCTGGTTTCAACAGTTTGAACACATGGGCCAGGATCAAGGCTTGCCCCTATGACCCCCCCCCCCCCTGCCCCCCGTCCCCAGAAGAGCTTCGTGGAAAACGCGGCTACGGGGAGTCGTAGTGGGTCCTGAGAACATCGCTTGGGGCCAAGGAACAGGGATCCGGATGCATGAAAAACACCGATCGAACAGTGCAACTTGTCAATCGTGGTTTTCAACTTTATGTTGGCGTTGAAAAAGCAACATGTTTCAACTGGTGGCAACATGTATCTGTTAAGGAGCCCTGTTTCATGTGGCATAAAGGGCGCCATGAACCTCCTTTTCCAATTAACTCCCTTGCCCCTACCATGTTTCAACTGGTTGCAAAATGGTTTGATCTTTGAAGGAGCCCTGGGGAAGCATGAGCATCTGAGCTGACAGGCAACTTTACATGTCGTAGTATACAAACAAAGAGCATAAAACCCACCCACCCACGACACGGCACGGCACGGCAAGCACAAGCACAAACACGAGCACAAACAGATAAACACAAATAAACACAGATAAACACAGACACAGAGACAACAGACGCAAAAACAAATACAGACACACACACACACACAACACAACATAACATAAGCAACCATATACAAACACAAAAGCGCGCACACACACACACACAGCACACACCACACACCACACACACACACACACCACACACACACACACCACACACCACACACCACACACACACACACACCACACACCACACACCACACACCACACCCCACACCACACACACACACACCACACCACACACACACAGACACACAGACACACAGACACACAAACACACAAACACACAAACACACACAAACTTACTTACTTACTTACTTACTTACTTACTTACTTACTTACTTACTTACTTACTTACTTACTTACTTACTTACTTACTTACACACACACAAACACACACACACACACCCACCTACCCACCCACCCACCCACCCACCCACCCACGCACGCACGCACGCACGCACGCACGCACGCACCTTCGCACCCACACACACACACACCCACACACACACACACCCACACACACACACACACACGCACACGCACTCGCACACGCACATGCACACGCACAGGCACGCACACGCACACACACACACACACACCACACACACTTACTTACACACACTTACTTACACACACTTACTTACACACACTTACTCACACACACATACTTAGACACACTTACTTACACACACTTACTTACACACACTTACACACACTTACACACACACTTACACACACTTACACACATTTACACACATTTACACACACACACACTTACACACACACTTACACACACACACACTTACACACACACAGACACACACACACACACACACCCAGGCAGGCACCGAAGATAACAGGCGAACACGCAAATGAACAAATTCGAAGAACTCAGCAACAAAACGAAACGAGAGAGTGGGGAAAACAAATTAGCGGGGATTCGGGGAAAGCGGGGATGTGCGAAGACAAGACTCTCCGTAAAGGACACCATGTCTACATATTACCTGAAACAGATGCCCACATCCCTTGCGCTGCATCCCTGCTCTGAGAGAGGCATCAGCTTCCTTCTGGCCTCACATGTGAGGCAGTACCAGAGCAGCTGCGCCCGCAGAGGGGGCTGCTCCTCTAGCCAGCCACCGGCAAGAAACCTCGGAGCAGCCCGCTACGCTGCAAGTTCCTGGTCTCAAGCCTTGAATTGCCTTGAGCTCAATTTGCGACTGGCAAAAATGGAGCCATGTCACGCGCTTGACAACAGTCGATGATCAAGACCGTGGCTCTGAAATCAGTGGGCAAAAAAGGCAGGCGCGTTGACAGCTTGCTGTCGTGGGCAAAGCTGCTGAAACGCCCGCCAATTTTGTCCCGGCTAAAGGCACCTCGTTACCTGCAACTAACTCTTTAACCCTGGCCTGTTCCAGTGGCGACATGAGCCCTGGGTAGCACGTCGGTGCCCATATACTTACTGCTGTGACGTGTTTCGTCGGTCCGGCGATGTGCTCTCAAGTCAACAGTTGACTTCTATCCAATGATGGGTGTGTTGTGGAGTCAGACTGTTTGCTACCCCTCACACATTGGCAGGTTGTCCATCGCGAAGTCAAGCCACTCTGCCAGCGACAGCTGGCCCATGGCAGAACGGGTAGCGGTGTAATCGAGGTGGCAGTTCAAGAAGATTCCAACAAAAACTGATGGTTTGCTTGCTGGAAAAACATGATATTGTTTTTTTTTGCGGCTGTCTAAGTTGCAGATCCGAACTCATTGCTAGTAGGGGTATCATCAGGCGGTGATTTAAATTAGTGGGCCAAGTTGGGCGAAAGAAGCGGCTCCTTGCAGACGTGCAGGGATTTGATTTCTGTCTTGTTCCGTTTGGCGGGGTGTCAGGTCAGTTAGCTTTTGGCGGGTCTCAGGTGGGATGGTGGCTTGTAGGTGTTTTTTTCCATGCAACCTGTTCTATTCTACACTTCGCCACCTTGATGTCTCCAGCTGCACTGGAGTCTTTTCAGATATAATATCACTTGCAGGTATGGATGTGAAATCTGCCCGTTGCATCCTGTTCAACTTTGAACATGAGTGGCATCCAATCGCTATGAGTGCACAAAGTTATGAGGACAAGCATGTACTCACGTGCCAAGTTTCGCCTTGTCCATTGACCATAGCCCACTTGCCATTCTTGGGGTCGCCTTCAAATGGCAGGCAGATCTTTGTGAACTTCTGACCAGTGACCGCACCCAACAGCGTGGCGGTGGTGACCACGGTCACTCTCTTGGGAGCACACAACCTTTCTTTCATTTGCTTCAGCCTCCTGAAAAATAACAATATTTTCAGTAGTGATAGATTCCCTTTAAAACCAACAAGAGAACATAAAACATATTGTCAAGCAAATGGAAGATTCCTAGCAAGCATTGGACGGACGGAAATCCGACTACCGTCCCACGCCAGTTGGATGATTATTGCTTCCGCAGCTGCTAGGCAACCTTGATCCCTGCTATCGCTTCTAGAAACTCCAGCGATCAAAGCCTCTTTGCCAATCAGGGAAGTTCCCAGCAAACAAGAAATTCAGTTTGGACCAAGTGCCGCGCATGAGCTGATTTGTGCCACGTCCCAAACAAACTCTCGCAAACCTAAGAGATGGGTCGGTCCGCCCCCCGCCCCCCCCCCCAAAAAAAAAGAAGCGCTTTTGGGGTGCGGGTTCCTTCTCCAAAACGTTAGGCAGTCTAAACAAAGAGATTGAATTGGAGTCGAAAGGTGCCCCCTGACTCCTGACTGGAAATGGTCACACCTGGCCACGGGTAAAAACAAAATCCCGTACCCCCAGTCGAAAGCAGGGCCCTTGGGACGAAAACAGCAGCCTCGCCCAATTCTTTTTGGCCTCAGATTCGTGGATCCGCTCCCAGGCAGTGGGTGGGAGGAAGCTCCGGCAGCCTGGGAAGCGAGAGTGGACAACTGGCGACCGGGGACGTCAACGTCAGCCAGTGTTTCCTTGGTGTTCAGGACATGACCCAGGGTTTGAGAGTGAACCTAGGGATTGGCAAAAAGAAAAACCAGAGGCGATGGCTTTCTTGGGGTCATTCCAACTCATTCCCTGCTGAGAACCAGCAAGCTTCACCTGCGGGAAGTCAGCTTGTCAAACCATGAGGCACCAAGTTGCTGAAACAAACTCCTTTCGATTTCCCTGTAGGCCAAGTCGGGCCTGGATGCTTGAACAAGTTTGGCTCAATCTTGCCAGGGACTGTTGGAGCACAACGATCACCCGTGCAATGCTTCCATGAAGGGAAGAAGCACGGGCATCCAAATAGATGTCTGGTGGAAAGAGATGATTGTTTCACCGAAGGTATCCGCAATCTCAAACAATCTATCTACGTGTCCAAATAGTAGTATCTTCAACGCTCATCTCCAGCTTTATACTCATATTGCAGGATAAGACAACTTCTAGGAACAACCGAAACACAAACAGCAGCCATGACTGACACGAGGAACAAGAGGCGAAAACACGTTTGACTGACTCCAGTCTGCCAACCAATCTCAGTCTGAGGAAAATGTGTCAGAGCAGCAACGGCAGTCTTATTTCGATGGTATCATATGGCCATGGGTCAAAATCCCGTAACCCCGGTCAACATCCCAATCCCCACTAAAATAGACTAAAATGGGAGGTGCACCTACCCCAAGATGGTATCGTTGGTTTTGACCCACAGCCATATTGGGAGCATAAGTTAAACCAGAATGCACACCCTGCAGTGAAGCGCACACCAAACGCGCTTGCTTCACACGCAACATGACCGTAGTCATACCTTCCACAACGGGGAGTGACCTTGCCCAAAAAACGCTAGGCTAGAATCCAGCCCAAAGTGCCATCCAACAAGCTCAAGGTAAGGGATGGTTAAATGGCGATCGCTTCTACCCCATGAAAGGGAGCGGCAGACAGACCGCGCCTCAGTGGACCAAACGGACGCCGTCCAAACCTGGCAGAGCACCAAGCGCCGACAGTCGGATTGATGTTGACACCGGTTTTAGTGGGGATTTAGTCACTGTTGGAGGAGAACACCCCCATAAATTGATAAACAGGGGTTTATTAATCCGGGGTCAACATTTAGAGACACCCTGAACAAACTAACAATCCACCCAGCATCCATGGGGGAAAGACGCGCCATGGAGACGGCAAACACACATGCTGTGAGCACTGCCCAAGTGTCCAAGCGGCCTCACCTCTTTATCTGTCTGCCTCTGCGAGACTTTTGTTGCCGACCCGGGCGAGTGCAGCGCTCCAACTTGGTACATCTGCCCTCTATGCGGCAGCGGAGCATGGCACATAAATGCCAATGCTGTCCATCTTGTACATGCCTTTCGAGCATGAACCAACACATGCGCCCAGTGCGAAGTTCTTGCAGAACATGCAGTCATGGCTTGTAGCAGTTGTACCAAGCAACAGGCTCTGAAACCTGCATGTCAATCAACACCAACATAACATGGCTTCCCTGAATAGTGCAAGGGAATAGTGCAAACACGAACCTTGGGCACTTACAGGGTTTGCTTCATTCCCTCGCAACAAGTGTGGCAATGTACAATTGCACCAACAACGGCCCACAGCAAATGTCACGCTATCCAAAGCAGCCCAGCCTTGACGTCGTCACAGAGCTCCCTGGAGAGATCCATGGAATAGATCGGTCGAAACATCAAGCCTGGCTTCACTGCCTAAATTTATTCGGATCACCTTGTAGGGACACTTGTTGAAAACAGAGATGCAAATGATTGTTTCAGCAGCGGCTAGCTTTCCGGTGGATGCTGACAGCACATCTCTTTTTAAATGCAAGCCTGGATTTGCGTCCAATCAAGTCGTATCAAAACCAGGGGACGTATTTGCTTGTACATGCACAAGCCATGATTCATCGAAACGCTCAACTCGTAAGGATGCTCATCCGTTCCATCCAGGAAAAGGAACTTGCACCCACCTCATTGGCATGAACACACACCCAAAAGATGCCAATCAATGGCTCACGGTTGGAAGAAGCAACTCTTGATCGGGAAAAGGTTTCGCACCGTGCGCACTTCGATACACCGGCTCACGCGACGCCACTTGCAGTGTTTGCACGCAACGCCATGCGCCTGCGCAGCAAGGCTGCGCGCCAAAGCCTCCAGTCAGCGGCTGAAAGGAGGCTGCGTCCCTCAAAAACAACTCAGTTTTCGTGTGTCTGCTCTGACAACCTTCCAAAGGCCACATTTGGCCAGCATACTGACAACAACAACAAATTGAATGTGACGGACAAGAACTCGTTATTCCTCCGTCCGCACTGCCACGAAACTAGCCAATTGACAAACGGTCTGGGCAAGCCCGTTTCATTATTTACACGTTACTTTGGCTGTGCCTCTAAAACTGGTCCAAAGACCTTGAAGCGCCTCCAACACTTTGCTCTCAAAATGCCTGCAATCTTGCCTTTGGGCATGACATCTGCAGAGGGTCCCACAGGTCCCCTATGGGCTCTGAAGCCTTGCCATTGTGTCAGGGATTACATTTTCAAATGAACACTGCCGACTGAAGACAAAAACAATCTCGTTGGGCACCTCTATTATCTTGTTCAACAGCAGAAGCAAGCGATTGTTTGGGGGAAATGCAGCCAGGCTCAAGACGACCCAAGTCAGAAAATGTGAAGCTACAGCGGTGAATAGCTGCAAAGCATTTTCACCTCTACCAAAAGCCAGCAGCATCTGCTTTAGATGCAGGTGGCATGGCGCCGTGGCACATCGGCACAACGCTACTACCATCCATCCATCCATCCATCCATCCATCCATCCATCCATCCATCCATCCATCCATCCATCCATCCATCCATCCATCCATCCATCCATCCATCCATCCATCCATCCATCCATCCATCTCCATCCATCCATCCATCATCCATCCATCATCATCCATCCATCCATCCATCCATCCATCCATCCATCCATCCATCCATCATCCATCCATCATCCATCCATCATCCATCCATCCATCCATCCATCCATCCAATCCAATAATTCAGCCATCAAGCCACAAGCCAGCCAAGCCAGCCTGCCTGCCTGCCTGCCTGCCTGCCTGCCTGCCTGCCTCCCTCCCTCCCCCCCTCCCTCCCCTCCCCCTCCCTCCCTCCCTCCTCCCTCCCTCCCTCCCCTCCCCCTCCCTCCCTCCCTCCCTCCCTCCCTCCCCCCTCCTCCCTCTCCTCCTCCCTCCCTCCTCCCTCCCCCTCCCTCCCCTCCCTCCCACTCCCTCCCTCCCTCCATATATCCATCCATATCCATCCATATCCGTCCGTCCGTCCGCCGCCGGTCCGCCTGTCTATATATAATGCCTCACGCACATACCTGTACAAACATGATCTTGGTTGACGTTGGAAGGGGAGCAAAAAACAATCAAACATTTTAGCAGTTAAGTGGTTGGATTTCAAAATTCATAAAACCACAATAAGCAAAAAAAACACTAAACCACAAAAAACCACTAAACCACAATAAACCACAATAGCAAAAACCACAATAAGCAAAAATGTGTAAACATGTTTCCCAACAACCAACATGACACGCGACATCGCGGGCATTCGCGGGCGTCTGCACCCGCCTACCGTGGCCCAGCGCAACGGTGGTGGACTTGAGGCTCAGGGCAT